TTCCTTTTAACCCATACATTTCATATAACACTACAAGTGAAAAATGAACCAAAGTAGGAGAACCCCTACCTCTCGAAGCGTAAAATGACGTTGGGAAGCCTCAAGAACCCAAAACAACCTTGAATCATCACTTCTCTAAAATCTCATTTTTTAACCTTCAGTGAAACCCGTCATTTTTGGTGTGGTCGCGTAGCCCTTGGCGAGAAGAACAACTTTTGTTCTTGCCCCGAGTGGATTTGAGCACCATAGAGTCGTAGATTGTAGAAAGAAGTGGAGAGCTCCTTCCTTTTCCCCCCTCTTCCACTCTCATATTAACCAGCTGAAGAAATGAGGGAAAAATCTGATTTTCCCTCCTATTTATACTCTTAGGATACTTGGCCCACAACGCACCACACTGCCCTTTTGTTTTCGGGTCCATTTTCATCCCGAAACGATTAAATTTCATCTCGGTTCAAGTTTAAATTAATTTTATTTTAATTTAACTTTAATTATTTCCCAAATTTTGAAATTTTATTGAAAATTCTGTTTTTAGTTCACCCAAAACTCGATCGCCTCGTAAAACGTAAAAAATCCGACTATCTCGAAATTCGATAAAATTTGACGTGGTAACTAGATTTTACGAGACGAATCCAATGGTGAGGTTCATTTTATCATCCGAGATCTAGAAAAATTCAGGTCTCCAACCCGTACTGTAACGACAAAATTACCATTTTACCCTTGTTTACAAAAATTTAAATTTACCAGATTTTACAAGAGTTATTTGACATGAGGGGATTTAGTTATTGTTTGGACAAACCTTAAGGGAGATGAATATAATTTATCCATTAATCTATTGTCATGGATGGAACATTATGTCTTATGCTTCATAATTTTGAGGGATTTATAAAATATCATGTTTGGTGAAGAGGAAAAATAGGAAGTATGAAAAAGTTGATGAATTAACTTTCCTTCTAAGTCACTAAGATCAATCCCTCTAAAATTGAGAGAAAAGTGGATGAAAAGTTAATTATGTGTGTTGAAATGCATGTTATTTGTCTATATATCTTTTGATATATACATATATCATATTTATCAATTACATGTATACATTAATTTCATATATAGATGTAATGGTAAAATATATATTTACTAGGGGTAATCCCGTGCCTAAAAGCATGGTGCAATATAAGTAAGAAGTGATAGATTAGGGAGGGAAAATTCATTATGAATGATTTTCAGAGAGATATTGGTAGTCATTATATGAGTCTATTTGAGACTGTCGGATAAATTTATTAAAGTTTGCCCTATTTTATATTATAAATTTTGAATTTAAGTAGAAATTATTGTATATAGAAAGATGCTACATGAATTTAAAATGCTGACTTAATTTGTTAACTTAATCAATCACAACTATTGTATATGCAGTGAGTTCTAATAAATACTAAGACCCACAAATAAATCAATAATAGTAATTGATCAAGTCAATATTTTAAGTTCATGTAGCATTGATCTTGTATATAAGTACTAATTATTACTCGTACTTGAAGGCACGAAATAATACAAAAAAAGTCAACAATAAACATATTTGTATTCACATTCAAAATCAAATTACAAACAAGAGAAAAAAAAAGAATTTAAGTACTGAATGTAATAGAGGTAAGCGGTGGTAGTGATAGTAGACAAAATTGGTGGTGATGGGAGATGGTGATAGTTGTTGTGGGTGGTAACGATCGTGGTGATGGTGGTAGCCGTGAGTGACAATGGTGATGGTGGTGGTAGGTTTTGGGTGACGATGGTGGTTATGGTAGCTATGGATGACGGCGGTGGTGGTGATAGGTGTGGGTGGTAATGAGTGACGACAGGTGCTTCTAGGCTACAGTGTGATGGGTGGTGGTAAATGACGGTGGTGGTGGTGGCGGCAGGTGTAATAGAGGTGGGTGATGGGGTGTTGATGGTGGGTGACATTAGTAGCGGGATGATGATGATAGTAGTGATAAATATAAAAATGAAATGACGATGGTGCTGAATGGTGGCGGTGGACGACGATAATAACAATTGGTGGTGGTGATTGTGGTGGGGGTGGTGGCAGTGAGGATAGTGGTTATGGGCGGTGGGGGGTGGGGGTAGTTATGGTGGTAGGGTGGCGATGGTGATGGTGATGATAGTGAGGCGGTAGAGGTGGTGGTGGTGGTGGTGGTAGTGGTGGTGGTGGGCCGGTTCCAAACACTACTTTTTTTTTAAAGTATTTATGAGAAGTTATAAGTTTTAAAAACACTTTAAAAAGTTACTCCAAACACACCCTTATGAGTCTATTTTCTCTATTAAATTTAGGGTATTAATATTAATTATCGGATTAACTTTAAAATAAAATTTAAAGAGATCTCAATCTCAAAAGTCATTTTGTTTATCTTTTGAGATTTGAATTGTATTGTACTTTATTATATAATTATTTTTTAAAAAAATAATATTTTTTCTATTTTACTAAACACAAAAAATTAATCATTCCTAATTTTCATTCCTCTTATCAAAAACGAAGGAAAAAAAATTAGAGTTCCTCTCTTAAAGAATATAAAGTATATCACTCTTACTTTTCATCATTCTATTTTTTCATCCACCCTACTACACGGACCATTAAAGTAATTGTAATTTTTATTAATTCTGTTACCCTAAAAGGGACAGAAAAGAAAAAAAGAAAACATTAAAAATAAAGAAAATATCTAACATAAAAATTGAAATCTGAAACTCTAAGTCAACGTGGTAAGTAATCAATGTCAAAGACACCCTGTCACCATTGGAACTAGGAGGGGACACACACACACAAAAAAATATTTAAACACTATTTATGCATTATTATTTGCTTTGCTCTCTCTCTCTCTCTCTCTCTCTCTCTCTCTCTCGCCTTTTTTCGGTTGCAATATTTGTATATGGATCCACTTGAAGTTTGACAAGAATGGTTTCCCTGATTTTAGAAAACCTTAGATCACAATTAACACTAGCGGCCTGCGGCCACTGTCTAACTTTCTTGATCATGATCAGGCAGAATCAAATGTCATACAAAAAAGAAGAAATTTGGTCAACTTTTGATGAACAATTATATTTGTTTATAATGCCGTAATCAATTATAATATTTCACAAGATTATACTTTTTTGACAATCAAAAGATTAGATATATAATATGACTTAGTCTAACTATATATATGCATTCATTTCTCTTTCAAGATCAAGTATATATGCATTTCAAAACAATGACACCGATGTCTTGTCTCACACTAAGGTCTTTAATTTTTAAAAAGACCACCATTAATTCTGGTATTTTTTGCATTATAAAATAATGTTGGTAAGCAGCAGGGGTGCATTATCTTCTTGCGTTTTCAATACTCTAAAAGTTAATTATGCTTTTGTTAGAGTAATGCATTTAGTATATCAAAAAGAACTTTGAAATATCATAAAAAATGGAATATGTTGATTTATGGTTTAAAAGTCAAACACGTTGGCAGCTGAGTCAAGTGATTCAAATTCCCTGCTACACTTTTTTTTTTCCTTTCTATTTCACTTCTTATATGTGTGGGTGAGTTCAATTCTACCCATTATGGTATTTTTACCCTATAACACTTGACTCACTATCTCTTTTAAATACCAATACCTATGTGAATTGCAAGCACCATTCAATTGTTAACTGCAATACCAAATACCAATATCATAGTAGTTTTGGAAAATTTTAAGAAGTTTGAGAATTCGTTTTTCTGCACACTTGATGTACATGTGACAACATAGAGAGAGCACCTTCTGACATATATTCTCATTTGAGACACTTTAAACATCGATTCGAGGCCCATTCAATGTTGAAGAAGATTGTGGCAGCCATAAGTTTATTTATTATTTTCCTCCAGATGATGCTGAAAGAATGTAAAATTGAGAGATGCAAGAGTGGAGGCTGCTACTTTCTTTGATTCACTTGGATTTTGAAGAAGAAAGAAAGGAAAAGAAAAGGGCTAAAACAACATAACAGTAGGACACAAAAGGAGTTGCAAAAGTGGAGGTTTCTACTTTCTATTTTCCCATAACGGCCAACCTGACTGACATGAGGCCAACAGTATAGTTTTATGACAAATTTTGTGGTATCCTATTAAATGAAGGAACTTGGCATTGTCAATTGCCCCAACGGCACAAATAATATTAATGGTTTTATGCACCACATGTTGATACACCTTAAAAAGAAAATTAACTCTCTAAATGATTTATTTGTAAACTAATTACAGTGAGAGCGAGAGAGAGAAACGGACGTGAGGCTTAGAACTTAGAAGATTCTCTCCTCCTCGAGATGAGAAGATGGCGTTGATAAAAGCGTAGTATGTGTGAATATTTATATATTAAATATTGCTGCATTTCTTTATATGAGAATTTCAGCCTCTTCTCCTAACTTTTTCATTTTTTCATTCCGTCCCTTATTTTTCCTCTTCAGCTGTTTTCACTTCTTTTTTTTTTTGCCCGTCCCCGAAATTCTCTCTCCTCTCTGCTCTCCGTCTCTCTATATCACCGGCGATCTATCTCACACAGTTAACACGTCTTCAGATCGAACCAGTCACCACCGACTCTCTCGGCAAGTTCAGTCTCTTATTATCTTTTTTTTTTTTGTATCTATCTTTGTCGTTGATGCTGTTGAATTATGGTTATGACAGAGTACATAATGAGTTTTCTTTATCGAAGTTGAGACATTTTTTGGTCATGGAATTGTGGGTTTGTGGTTGGAAATGCTGTTGACCTACTTTAGGGGTGGTTTGGGGATGTGGGTTGCTCTTGTTTGGATCCGTGGGATGTGGTTTGTGGGTGTACTGTTTCTGGATTTCTGGGGCGTACTGAGGCTGATTAGGAGGTTTTGGGGTGGCTTAATTTTGAGTCAATCGGAATTAGTGGTAAATCAATAATTGGGGTTGTAACCAAAATTTGATCTTTTTGTTGTTTAGAAGTTGACCGTGTATTCGGTGGGAAGTGGAATCGGGGTTTTTTGTGTTTTCGTTTCATTTTGTTTTCGGTTTCTGCGTGTTCTCAGCTTTGAACAATGGAGGCTAAATATGGAGGAAAGACTCATCATTTCTATGGTTCAATGGTGTCGGATTTAAAGGCGGTTGGGAAGAAGAGTATGGAATGGGACTTGAATGACTGGAAATGGGATGGTGACTTGTTTAAGGCTGCTCCACTGAATTCTGTACAATCAGAGTGCCAGAGTAGGCAGTTGTTTCCTATTGGGTCCGAAATTCCTGCCAATACAGATTTTAATAGTTCGTCACCTTGTTCAGATGAAATTAGTTTGGAGAATGAAAAAGGGAAGAGAGAATTGGAGAAACGGAGGAGGGTTGTAATCGTTGAGGATGAAGAGTTGAATGATGAATCTGGGTCCCTTAATTTGAAGCTTGGTGGGCAAGTGTATCCTATTGCCGCTGGGGGAATGGAAAAATGGGAAGGGAAGAGTGGGAAGAAAACTAAGGTCGTTGGGCCTACATCGAGCAGTGTGATTTGTCAGGTGGAGGACTGTCGAGCTGATTTGAGCAATGCCAAAGATTATCACAGACGACATAAGGTTTGTGATATGCATTCCAAAGCCACTGGGGCGTTGGTGGGAAATGTTATGCAGCGGTTCTGTCAGCAGTGCAGCAGGTCAGTTCTTGTATGCAGATTGCTTTCCAAGGCTTTCTATGAATTCTCTGCTTGTGGTGATCGTCCAGGGATTGACAATAAAGAACAATTTGGGCCGTCTAAGTCTAATTAGTCGCTTTCTGTTACATGCTGCACCCAAAATGAGTTTGATTCACTATCACACAAATATTGTTCTTGATTTTATACATTACTCGGTCAGGTCCAATGTTTAGTGTAGTTGGGTTTTGTGTGAATATTTCTTTATGCAGTCGGATGCAATTTGGTTATTCTTGTGGGCAGGTTCCATCTTCTTCATGAGTTTGATGAAGGGAAGAGAAGTTGTCGCAGGCGTTTGGCAGGTCATAATAGACGGAGAAGGAAGACACATCCAGAAAATGTTGTTAATGGAGCCCCCCTAAATGATGAACGGGATAGTAGTTATTTATTGGTTAGTCTGCTTAGGATACTCTCCAATATTCACTGTAAGTATCTATCTCATTGAAAATATTGTTTAATTTGTTTCTTTGATTTATATTAGGCCTGTTAAAATTCGACACGACATGATTAACCGACATAAATCGATTAAACGGGTTTGGAAGGTAAACGGATTGACCCGCCAAACACGTTTAATAAACAGGTTGTATTTGAGTGAAACCTGTTAACCCGTTTATCCGTTTAAATAAATTTAATATAATAATGAATGAGTAAAAAAAACAATAAAGAAAATATTTCAAAAAAAAAAAAGTAAGGAAAGGGGGCTTTGAGGCGGTGAATGACATTTTCTTTGAATCCCATATCGACACAGGGGAGTGGGGAGGGGGCTTTAGTTGCCTATAAAAGAGGTAGTGGCCCTCCTCCTTTTAGCTAATTTTTGTGGTGTGGCTTGTCACATGGACTTTTGGTTGGAACTCCTCCAATTGAGGAAAGTACAATTGTAAGAAAAAAAAATAGTGTAAAAATTTGTTAAAATAATAATTTTTTTTCTTTTTTTTTTGTTATTTTTAAATGGGTTAAACAATTCGTGTCGTGTTAAAATATTTTACTTGTTTATTAAACGTGTCGTGTATAGGTTTGTATGTTACGTAACCGTTTAACCCGACACGATTGACAACCCTAATTTATATGGACAGTACTTCATTGCATAAGTAATATCACAGCAAATTGATTTGTTGATAACAATTCCTGTGCGCTTTCAGCTTTGAAGATCCCTTTTAAGGTCACCATTTATTGTTAACAAATTGCTTCCTATTGATAACACTGTCAACAACTCTGTAAAATTAACAATTGGAAATCTCTTTGTGTGAGAATGGTGGATGAGTTGATAGATTGACATGTACTTCTTCCTTAAAAGCCGACATTTTCTTCTTGAGGTGCTAGTGACATGTTTAAATAATTATGAGAGGAAATTAAGGATAAGGATTCTTGACTCATCAAAGTGAGAGTAATGGTTAGCAAATTTTTTCTCAGTTGGATGAAAGGTGAACAAAAGCAAGCTTTTTTGATACGTGATTTAGATACTGATGCAATCTTCTTTGTTGAAAAGTGGATTGTGTTAATCAGATATTGAGAGCAAAAACTACAGATGGCCTTTGATGCTTCTAGGCATTACACGGTATTTGGGCCTTCTTAGGCGGCATCTCTTTGCTTCTTTGAGTTTCTCTTAGAACTTCGATCACTCAGAGGAATATACTGCAGAATCCAATCAGGATGAAGAAAATAGAAAGTGCCAATTTGACATTAACGAGGTTTTAAAGTTCAACCACAGATAACCTTTCGTGTCTTTTAAAGTATAATTGATCTAGTGGTATTTAAAAATTACAACTATAGAGTTAAAGGGTCTGATTGGAATTTGAAAGATGACAATTTGGGGCTTTGAAAGAATCAATTGGATTTGATTCTAGAGCATGGTGGCAATGGTGAAGTTTGGGAAATTATCTGGTATGTGGTTTCTTTCGTGGATTTGAACCATTTCAGGGTACATAAAATCAACATTTATTTATGCAAAACGTCCTGTATTTAGATTATTTATATATTTTTTTATTTTTGTACTTTTTTCAGCCTAAACCAGAGGACTAGTTCGTTATGTTGAGGGTTAATAACTGTGGGAGGATGTGGGAATAGTGCCATAAGTTTTCTAGCATGGAAACCTGCCTGATGGAGCCTTTTTTTTTTTTTTTTTTAACTTTGTAAATTTTAAGTCAATAACATGAATTTCAAATGATTTATCCAATCCCCAGTATGTGGGATAAGATTTTGTTGGGTGATGTTTGTAGTAATCCTTAGGGTCTATGTGGTAAAGGTAGGATCAGGCCAACTACCGTGATTAAGGTTTTGTTGATTTGGGGTCTATTTGACAATATACACATTTAGGACAGTTGATTTTGAAGTTGCCTTGTATTTTTGTGGATTGGTAAATCAGTCTATTTTATGACTATGTAACACTGTCGGATCTGTCTCCAGTGATTGTCGACATCATACCCTTCATACTAAAATAAGTGTCGCGCTTCTTCTAATGTTTGTGGATGATTTAGCCATCATGCTAAAGGTTTGTATCTGGTTTCCTTTTAATTTTTTCTCGAATTTTTATTTCATGATTTTATTGCGTTGATCCTGTAATGATGTTGGGAAGTTGAGTATTGTTTGAAACTTTAAATAATAGGTCGGTGTTTTATACTTTATTATAATTTGTGAGTTATATATATACACGGTTCTCGCCAAGTTGTTGTGCCATGTGTTTGGGCTTCTTAGTCTTAGTAGCAACTTGCAGCCATAAATTAACTCTATAGTCTATACTACATGAACAGGACTGCTAGCAAAATTACATTTTGATATTTGGGATTGTAATCAAATAGAAAGCAAACGACCAAGACATGTACATTCCTTTGCAGATGAATATGTGAAAGTTCAACCTAATTCCATTATTTAACTATGAAGGCATAATTAGTACACTTTCTGTTATTTATTTATTTTGGCTTTTCATTCATTAGTTTATTATCAGCATCTTCTTCCCCCCCCCCCCCTCCAAAAAAAAAAAATATTTGATTTTGATTCATGTCAGTGTTATGTTTGGGGTATTTCTTTAACGTTACAGCTTCTCTGTGAATTGCAGCTAATGGCTCAGATCAGACAAAGGATCAGGATCTGCTGTCTCATCTATTGAGAAACCTGGCCAGTCTTTCAGGTACAGTTAATGAAAGAAATGCCCTACCGCCAGAATCTCAAGATTTGAGAAATGTTGGGACATCTCTTGAAAATTCAGAAAAGGTGCCAAATCTGATTCCGGATGGTCCTAAATGTGTCTGGTTTTGTTTGTTTAACTTATAAGATTGTTGCTTGCCTTGATTTTTAGGACCACCTTTTGCCTATCAGACAATGTGCCACTGTACCTGCATCTGAAATGACACCAAAGAGAAAATTAACTGCTGGTGACACTCATGTTGGGATTCTACATAATACGTCTGATTCTACAAATGACAGAATTTCGCCCAGAACAAATGCCTTGGAGAATACGATGGAGAGGAATAGATTGAATACCATTGATTTGAATAATGTATATGACGATTCTCAGGACTGCACGGGCAACCTGGAGAGGTTTGATGCCCCTGCAAATCTAGGGAATGGGTCTGTTGGTTGCCCTTTATGGATGCACCAAGACTCTCACAAGTCAACCCCACCTCAGACAAGTGGGAATTCAGGTTCCACATCTTCACAGTCACTGTCTAGTTCCAGTGGAGAGGCTCAGGTATATCATTGTTTCCTTTGCATGTCTTCATTGAATGATTGTGATTGAAGGGCAGAAGTTGGAAGTTGTATGGCATGAATTAAAATGGATGAAGCTCTGTTTATGCAGAGTTCACACATGAAACATTTGAAATAATAATCACTACATCATAAACTTTTGCTACCACCCAAACATACTCCCACACGCTCACATATGCACGTGAAAATTCTACTTATCTTTTCTAGATGAGATGAAGGCGATAGTTTGCAAAATGTAAAGTGGAAAAGGCTGCTTAAGCTTTTGGAATGAAGAAATTTTTTTGCATGCATTTTCTATATTACTTATGGTAATCTCTTTTGGATAAAATATGATTATTGGATTTTCTTATGCCTTCTTATGCTAATATTTATTCCTAAAAAATGAAATAGTTATGGCTATTATTTGTTGTTCGTTGGTTGTGTTAATTAAGAGAGGAATGTCAGAATCTTTTAAGATCAGTGTAGTGTTTGGATGGATTAAGGGATTGGATTCATTTTATTTCGTCATTTTGAGCTTCGGTTTCTAAAGATTTCAAAGGAATCCCATTCTTTACTAGTTTATCGAGATGGAGCGCATCACGTGATCTATGGACTTTTTATGTTTTTCCCTTTCATTTATTTTTGCTCTTTTGTGGTTGGATTTCTTGTCCAACCGCCTTTCATGTAATTCCACTTTTATTTTAATATAATATGTTTCATTTCCTATCCAAAAAAAAAGGCTGGAGTTGATATTTTTCATAATAATGAACTTTGGTGAAGTGCCACACAGAGGTTGCCAAACACGTATAAACCAAGATTCTTTCTAATGGAGATAATTTCTTAAACTGTTATTTGGCCTGCATGGATTTTTTTTTTTTTCATCATAACTGTATTTTTTTGATTAATTTCCAGAGTCGCACAGATCGAATTGTTTTTAAACTCTTCGGAAAAGATCCTAATGATTTACCTCTTGTTCTGAGAAAACAGGTATTCCACTATTTCGGGGATATGAAGTTGTTTCTTTACATTTTTTTTTTTTTGGTGTTTTCTCTTGGAGTCTGATCTTATCATATGTCATGAATTTCCAGATCCTTGACTGGTTATCCCACAGTCCCACAGAAATTGAAGGCTACATCAAGCCTGGTTGTATCATATTAACAATATATCTCCAAATGGGAAAACCCACATGGGAGGAGGTAAGTTTCTGTGTCTTCACCAGAAATATACTGTTAATCCCCATTTGGGTGACATGAGAGTGCAAATAAAACAAGCGAAGCTGGGTACTGGCTTGCTTGTGCTTGGCTTGGTTCAGATAAAGGTGTTCAAACTTGACTTGAGCTGGAATTGAGCTCTAAAACAAAAGATCGAGCTCACCCCAATGGGTGATTGAATGAACCGAATACCAAACGGTTGACCAAGTCGAAACGAGCCAATTATTGAACCTGACCTGAGCTATTCATGAACAGCTTGTTTTGTGTGTGACCCTCGAGAAATCATGTCTAACTTTCCTAGTTACTATTGCTTTCAGCTCTGCTGTGATCTGAGCTCCAGTTTAAGGAGGCTTCTTGATGGATCCAGTGATCCTTTTTGGAGAACGGGATGGATTTATACTAGAGTGCGGCATCGTGTAGCATTTGTATATAATGGTTTGTTCTTTCTCTTTATAATTTCTTCTTTTCCTCCGATTTAATTGTGTACTGTTGTATCTATATTAGGAAGATCACAAATATTGATTTCCTCTACTTGTGTGGCAGGTCAGGTTGTTCTAGACACACCCTTGCCGCATAAAAGTCATAAAAATTGCAGGATCTCAAGCATCAAACCAATTGCAGTTTCCGTCTCCGAGAGAGTTCAATTTTTAGTCAAAGGCTTTAACCTTTCTCGGTCCACCACAAGGTGTCCATGTTCTCTATGGATGCAAGCCACACCTTGATCTTAATGACAAGTGTCTTGTTTTTCAGATAATGTTGTGACTTGAATTTTTTGGGGCCGCTGCACCAATAACTTATTTCTATGTTCTGTGTCAGGTTACTTTGCGCACTGGAAGGGAAGTATTTAGTCCAGGGAAGTTGTTGTGACATGATGGAGGGAGCTGATTTATTCCTCGAGAATCGTGAAGTCCAGTCCTTAAGCTTCCCTTGCTCGATACCAAATGTCAGTGGGAGAGGATTTATTGAGGTGCTGTTATTTGCCCATTTTTTAAAATAATTCTTGACATTTCTATTGATTTTCCTTAGCAAAAGCAACACCCACGGGGTTTTTACAATAGCACTAATCTTTGCTCCTTGAGTCTCCTCGAGCTAAGTTTACATGGCCTTAATCCAGCCACCTCTCTCTCCCTCCCTTTCCCCTGTAAAGGAAAAGTGTCTTTACTTGCTTATGTGTATTTTATCATGGCATGATACCCGTAAGATGTGCTGGATACACAAATTTCTCCCTTCATTAGATACAATGTCTACTTGTCTTTTAGATGTAGGTTAGCCTTGATGTCCCCATTCTCCCTCCCTTTCCCCTGTAAAAAAAAAAAGTGGCTTTACTTGTTTATATATATTTTATCAATGGCATTAGACCCATAAGATGTGATGGATACACATATTTCTCCCTTCATCGGATACAGTGTCTATTTCTAAATTATAGTCCTGTTTGTCTGGTTAGGTGGAAGACCATGGTCTCAGCAGCAGCTTCTTTCCATTTATAGTTGCAGAGCAGGATGTTTGTTCTGAAATTTGTACACTGGAGAGTGTCGTGGAGGTTGCAGGAACTGCTGATAATATACTCGGAGAAACTGAAAAAATAGAAGCCAGGAATCAAGCTTTGGACTTTATACATGAAATGGGTTGGCTTCTTCATAGGAATTACTTGAAATTCAGACTGGATGGTATGGATCCCAACTTGGATCTATTCCCTTTCAAGCGGTTCAGGTGGCTCATGGAGTTCTCCATTGACCATGACTGGCATGCTGTAGTAGAGAAACTTCTAGGCATTCTGTTCAATGGTTCTGTAGATGCAGGGGAGCACCCTTCTGTTGAACATGCATTGCTGGAGATTGGCCTCCTCCACAAAGCTGTGCTGAGAAACTGCCGGCCTATGGTAGAATTCCTCTTGAGATACTACCCATACAGAGTTTTGGAGAAATCTGGATCTGAACAGAAGCAACATTTTGATGGGGGCTGTAACTTATTTAGACCTGATGCGATTGGCCCTGGGGGCTTGACTCCTCTTCACATTGCTGCTAGTCGAGATGGCTCCGAGAATGTATTGGATGCATTAACTGATGATCCTGGATCGGTATATCTCTTTCTCTCTCTCAGTACAGGTTTAGGTTTTTGATTTCCATGTCTGAAATGATATATTAAAGTTGACATTCGTAATTTTTGTTGTCTTTTTTTTCTATTTTTTTTTTCTTCTGCTCATGACTCAGCATTCCTCATCATCTTACGTATGTGATCTTTGTTTTGGTCAAAAATCTAAAGCGGAGTAATCTATAGAGATCAGTACTAAGATTGTAATGCATGCAGCTGATTTGTAATCACCACATCTGTAGGACCCACACAGATCAGCATTCCTACAGTGTGTGTTTTGTGTGGGGGTGGTTTTCTCCAGATTCTAGAATTGTCTAGTCTTTGGAACCCCTTTTTGGTTGAACAAAAAGATCAAGAAAAGAAAGAAGTTTCCATGAATGTTGAGTTTTTACGTATTCCATTAGCGTCTCAAAGTGATGTTTAAATTTTAAATGGGATTGAGCCAGCTGGATATGTTTGTGCCAAAAATCTTAAAGCATGCTGATGAGATTTTTGTAGGAAAAATATGAAAATTTCTTTGCAGGTTTATGTGAAAAAGAACATGTTATTCCAATGTTGTGTGTATCCCAGGCAGCAAGTCTTGCTGTGACCTTTTTGTTTACTTTTCATTTTTCCCCAAAAGGAGAAATACTTGAGAAGTCCTGCAGGTGCTCATACAGATTGGTTTTGTTCAGGTGGGAATCAAAGCATGGAGGAGTGCTCGTGACAGTACTGGATTGACACCCAATGATTATGCGTGCCTACGAGGCCGCTACCTGTACATTCATATGATCCAAAAGAAAATCAACGAGAAATCAGGAAGTGGGCATGTAATGCTTGACATCCCTGGTGCCCTTTTAGGCTGCAACATGAAGCAGAAACTGGCAGATGGGCATAAATCAGGGAAAGTTGCTAGTTTTGAAACAGAGAAGGCTGTAATGATAGCAAACAAGAAACGATGCAAGCTATGCGAACAAAAGTTGGCTTATGGAAGTGGCAGAACATCACTGGCAATCTACAGGCCAGCAATGGTTTCGATTGTTGCAATTGCTGCCGTCTGTGTATGTGTGGCTCTGCTCTTCAAAAGTTCACCTGAGGTTCATTGTGTGTTCCAGCCCTTCAGGTGGGAGCTTCTAAAGTATGGATCAAGCTAAAGTACACTTGTAAGTAGGTAGCAGTTGTTGTACTGGCCTATTCGGCTGGAATTTCTAATTCTTTTTCTTGTGTTAATGATGATGATGATATAAGACTGGTCATTTAGGTTTTGGCAGAATTGGGAAACACATGTAATGTCTATTTGTGCTAGCTAGTTCATCTTAATCCGGTCAGATTCTGATAGACGGAAGCGGGCGTCCTCGGTCTCATTTCATAGAGAGGACCGAAGACCAGTAAACATGAGGCCTTCCATCTTGGGCCCATACCATTGAACTTGGAATTTACCATTTGTAAATGGAGGGATATGAAAGTTGGTACAAAAATTTTAATTTATTTAAATTAAACTATATTAAGAAAATTTATTTAGTTTTAAGTATATTTTTTTAAAAAAAGACTAAAAATGTCATTTATTATTTCATTACTCTCTCTCCATTACTCTCTTCCATATTTTTTATTTATCTATTTCTCTCTCTTTCTCTTACATTGGTTATTTATTTTTTTAAAATACATAAAGATTTGATTTAATTTTTTTATCTCTCTCATATTTTTTTTCACTCTCATTCTCTCTCTCGTTATTTTCTTATTCTCTCTTTTTATTTCTCCGTATATCAATATTACAACAATATAATTATATTAGTCAATTACACTAATTAATTATAATTATTTTATATTACACTAAATAATTACTCATATGTTCTAATAAAATTAAACAGGTACACTAAACAATTATACAAAATTACAACATTAACCTAATTTATTATTCAGTTATTAATATAAATTAAAGAGTTAAATTATTTAATATTATGACATAATTATACTAAATATATACACCAAATTAAATTTATCGTTACACAAAAAACTTCATCATTATATTAAATTTGGTATAATTTAAGGAGTAAAAATGCCTTACAAGACTCCCTCACTTCGCCTGCATTCTCTCTCTACCCGCCGAGCTGCGACACACACACACATGCCTGAAAGACTCGACCAGCGACACAGACTATCCGGCTAGCAACCAGGTATGTATCCCTCCATCTCTCTTTCTCTCTCTCTTCTACCTCTTTCTTTCTCTCTCTCAAGCTCCCACCAGTCACCCCCCTCTCTCACCTTCCCGTGTAAGTCGACACACACACACACACACACCCTGTCCCACCCCACCTCTGCCCAATTCCCCACCCACCCCTCCACTGCAAGCCCAATCACGGAGAAATCCCCAAAAAATAACGGCCAAATTTCGTTTGTTCTAATGCAACAATAAAAATTTATAAACCGCCAAAACCCCACCCAACCCTCGCTTTGTAGAGATCTAAGTTGGGAGATCTACTATGTAAGTGGGTGAGATAGAGATCTAAGCGGATCTAGGAATGGATGAGCTAGGGAGGGCCCGTAGTGTGGGGAACGGGGCTGCGTCGCGCCGAGGGGATCTGTTCTGGGTTAGGGAGATGGGGGAGGAAGTGGCTGCGCTGCGTCCGGGGGGGTGGATCTGTTTTGGGTTGGGGAGATGGGGTAAGGAGGTTGTGTAGGGTTGCGTTGAGTGGGGGAAGTGAGGGGCAAGGGCTGTGGGTTGTGGTTTTTTGGAAGTGTTTAGTTGAACTTTAGTATGGGGCTGTGTGAGATAGTATTGTAGCTGCTTCAATTAGAGTTATACTGCATTTCAATATATTATGCCCAAGTTTGATGTTTTGCTTCAAAGAAAATTCATATAAGCAATTTCTCAATGATTAGCAGCTTCGATTTTATAGCTTTGGAATAAGCGTTCTTATTATTGAATAGACTGGAGGTTCATTTGTTGAAATCTTAGAATTGCTTGCGATACTACTTATTGCGTTATATTTTCTCACGACACTCTTAGTCTATGTCATTTACACACGAAACTTCACAATCTATGGAGCAGCACTCTGTGAATTGTGAATTGTAGTTCTAATGCTATTTAGTTCCTTATCAATTGAGGGTTTTTGTGGTGTTTTAGGCTTCAAACATTATTGGAACTGGGACGTTTGGGTGTGGGAATACCATTGTGGAAGGAGAGGACTTCATCTGAGAACTTCACTTTTCACCTTTGGAGTTATTGGGTACTTTACATATTGTAGTTTGAGGCTTGCAGTGATATTCAAATAATTCTCTGTTGTTCATGTATGGTTTTAAACTAGATTTCTTTCTCATGAAATTTATTGCTTATATTCTGACAGGATATAATATTTCCTTTTAGGTGTTCAATGACATGCCCAATTTGGTTGAATTCTTATGTTCTTCAACAAGCACCTTAACAGTGAGTAAAACCTTGAACCAAGATTACCCCACATTGTATTTGTAAAATTTGTGAAATGATAAATATTTTATTTGACGTGAAGATTGAGGCTTTTCGATAGTATAAATGCCGAGACTTTTCAACAGTATAAATTTGACGTGAATTATTCATTGAGTTGTCTTCATTTTTTTTTGAGCATCGACTGAGAGGTTTAGGTTAAATTGGTTGGTTTCTTTTCAAATTATATAATGCCAATTTTTACATATGGCTGTATCACAGATTCACAGTATTGAATTGCTGTGAAGTTTGATTTGAATTTTTATCAGAAAAATTTAGCCAAAATCGAATTAAATGGGATTGATTTCATTTTTATGGGTACGATCTTCAATTGTAATCGTCATATTGCATGACCAGTGCTCAATTTTTTGTGTTACACAGTGAAAGTCACGAGTTAGTGCTAGTATATCCATAAAGGTAAAGAAGGTAAAACCCCAGAGTATTCTCAATGACACTAAAAGCCCTCTCCCTAGCCTAGTACAAATCAGTAGGAAGGAATGAATTCTCATACCATCATAACAGTCTGACAAACAACAAACAACATATAATTGTTAGTGTCAGAGTGTATGAAATGGAAACAGGAGGAGGAGGGTTGAATGCTGCTGCTGCTGCTATTGGAATGGAATCGATCCCAGATGGTTTGAGAATTGCAGAGGAGGAGACACCATCAACTGGAAGTTCCCAGTCCCAGATTAATCACAACAACAACAGAGTTTGTGGGTACATCGATTGTGGTGTGCACATCACTTGCTTCTCTGAGGTCTCCGACAACGGCACCCTCCACTTTCAGATCATTCGTCTTCACAAGCAGGTAAGGTTATAGTTGCTGTCCTCCTCTCCTGGTTCCCACCGCAGCCACGTACCAGGCAAAGCCTAGACCCAAGTCTACCCTCCTTTTGGGGGTTGAATGATTTCTTCATATATATTGTTGATCAAATTTGAAAAGCTTTTGATTGTCCTCTTTAGTTGTTTGCTGTAAGTTTTCTACTCTGGAAAAGAGAGTAAATAATTAGAGAAATGCACAGCACAGCGTCTGCCCACTGGAGTGAATATTCGACTTGTGCCAACCCCTGCTGCACCCAATCCCGGCACTTGAGCTGAACCCCAATTTGACTAAAATGCAAAGCACTTGGATATTGCTTTTGAAAAAAAAAGGCAAGGGAGTTGATATTCTGAGGAGCATGGACATCCTTATACCATGACTAACAATTAGAAATTTGTATGATAATCATAACTTTATTGTAATTGATAACCAACTTTTTTTGTTTCATCGGAGGACACAATAGTAAAATTAAAAGCCCCTAACCAGCAAAAGAAGAAAATTAAAATACAACTACAGCATTCCTGAAAAGATAAAGGAGGTGTAAGCCAAGTACATACAGTGGATAATCATTGTGGACAGACTACTGTTATTTTTGTTAATTTTCCTTTGTATGTTAGCTTTCTACTTGATAGTGTATCTCACAGTTGATATGGAGACTCTATAACCTTTCATCTTCTTCTGTATGTGCAGATATATGCATGGATCGGTTGCAATTCTGCCAAATTTGGACATCTATATGCTGCTGCACCTACACGACCTGTAAGTTTACAATTTTTAGCTCTTTAGAATTGCCTTTTTGGCTGCGTTTAGAAGCATGGAATCGGCTGAAGTGGAATGGAAGACCTTGTCAAAATTGATCTAATGCTGCACTTGGCAGCTTGGAATTCAGGCCTTGGAAATAGCATTTTGGAAGATTAAATCAAATGTTGAATTAATTTTGGCCAATTGCAATCACAAGATCTCATTTTATAACGCAACATACAATTTATTTTGACTCATATTCCATGATGCAAATGCTAAGTTTATCTTACTATTTGGTGGTGGCCAGAACAACACAGTGAGTGTTACGTCCCTACTTGGAGGGGCTTCTGATAATACCGGATCTGGTATTGCTCGTCGATTAGGTAAATTCTCAATTCGCAATGAATCATTTCGGAGTATTTCTTCAGATCCGCGGGCTGATAAGCAACCTTTTTTCACAGCATTGAAGACTGGTCTTAACGTAATAGTGGCTTGTAACATTCCAAAGAATAGCCCCATGCTTCTCTCTCTCTCTCTCTCTCTCTCTCTCTCTCCTCATATAGTTTACCAGATGATTAAGCCTGTTGGTTCTAGTTCCTAGCTTTTGATCCATACTTCCCCCTAATTTTTCATTGGGGCTTTCAGGCAGATGCGGAGAAAAAGTTGGTGCAGAAGTTAATCAATCTGGGGTACACAAGGCCAAAATCTGATGGGACATCCCCTTAGCATACAGGTGAGGCTCGCATGCTACACATGAAGAAAGGATTAGCTTTTTTTGTGGTGATTCTGCTGGCAGCAATCCAAGCCAAAAAAATTCCATATGTAGAGGTTATAGCACCATTTATGGATCGTGTGAGAACCCCTCCCTTTTTTTTTCATTTTGTTTGTCCTCTAGCAATCTTTTGAAAAGATTTGATCCAAATGTAACTGTTATATTGTAGATTATACCTTACGAATCTTAACAATATTTGTATATTGTCGTGTCATTTGCCTTCAAAGTCGTCATCGTTCTTTGCTTTCTGTTTATTGGGCAGGACGATCATTTTGGAAGATTTTATTTATTGCCTTTGTACCTTTAGAAGAACCAATTCATTGCAGGTCAATTAAGACAATGCTATATCATAAGGTTCAGTTCAAGTTTGGCAAAATAACTTCCACCTTGCATCTTTTACAGGTATCTTTACTATTTGAAGATGTCAGCCTACTCAGTTTTCTGGGGGTTGTTAAGATCCATATACCAAAAGGGAGTTTGCAGTGATACCCACAATTACAAAGAAAAGGACCTATCTACGTAGTTGGCGGGATCAAATCTTATCACTTTTATTCACACACACACAAAAAATTGATAAAATATTAGTCAAGCATATGATGATTAGAATGTTCTATAGAGTACTTTCATTGAACTATTTGAAAAACACCCATAACCATTCAGTCACAAGATACATATACATTGTGCTATCTATTATGTGCCAATGTGCAATTATTTATATACACCCACAAATTTGACACAATAAAGCACTTTTTACTGTGCATTAGCCACCCCATGGACAATGACTTCTGCTTCCACCCAGCTACTGTCTTTTACCAGAAAGCCGTTGAAAGATGAATTGAAATAACTGAGTGAAATGAATCGAGGCCAACCACATTGTTGGTTTGATGCACTGAACCAGTAAGTCGCTGCAAGAACACGGAAATTGGCAAGCTTATTATATGAGCATGTTGATATATAAGTGGATCATTTTCCAATCCTAAGATTTAGGAAAGCATTGAGCCAAGACAGTTTTTATACTGCCTAACCTGTGAGTCATAAGATCAGCCTATATTTACCTTTTCCGAAGTCATGATTGCTGTGCGTTTGGTCTAGTATACGCAATATGAACTCTGCAAATATTTTGGAGCCAGGAGGAAGGGCTGTGGGATCAGCCAAAGCCAGATACAGAGATATATGAGTTCCTATGCCACTGCTTTTTCCCTTTGGATATAGTTGTATCTTCCTGCAACAACCAGCAACAACAAAAATATCATGTAGCAAATGATTCAATGTTGTAGTTAATATGTATGATGCAGTTTAACTGAAGACTCTGTAAATGGGATGGTTTAAAATTTGGGGCAAAATCTTTCATCATTAACAGGTAAAATAAAAAAGAAAATATATAATTCTTGAGATTTTGTCTAGATTATATCCGGGAAGAAATTCATTACTGCATTACCATTTTTGATCTCCAGCATTGAATGTGTCAGAGTCTTCACACCCTTTGTCTAACTTTGAAAATTTCTCAATTTTCCAAGTGTGCTTGTACTTAATAGCGTCCTTCATCATCAATAATGACTCTTCTTTACCCTTTTTTTTCTCCTGACAGACAAAGACCTCTGCTCCAAAGACACAAGTATCGTTGACAAGATACCCATTATCAGGATTGGAAAATGTAGTAAGAGGGATGAACCGATCAAAACCCCATTCCAGCTTCATTCCATAAAAGCGTCTTCCCTTTCTTCTTGTATCTAAGCAAGTTAACCACATGATTACCAATATCACATTTTATGGGAGTGTATTATGAAAAAGGCAACTTGATAGTTTAGACTGAAGCATGAAACTGTGACGTTTTACTAGCGTGATGAAATCTGGTAGTGAGTCATGAGAACAATGCAACTAGTACAAAGATAGAAAAAGAGGCAATACAAAACTGTAACACTATTGCTGAATTGGAGATGACACCTTGAAGTGTTAAGTAGTTGTCTTTGTTCTGATCAAGCAAAAACAGTCGAAAAGCAGCATGCACCTCCCAACCAGGATGCAATGAACTAACTTCCGATATCATCAAGTAAAAAGAGATGTGATCTTTAATATTTTTGTTCTTGTTTCCATTTGGGTAAAGAACCAACTTCCTGCATGCAGCAAATAAAACAACATCCGAAAACTGATAAAACAGCAATTTGCAATCAAAAGGTGATTATAGCCACTATACTGAACTATTGTCGCAACTACATCAAAAATAAAGGAATGACAAAGAGATACAATCAACGTAAATACAATACACACACAGAGGGAGAGGGAGGGAGAGAGAGTACCATTTATAACCTGCAGCTTCGAAATCACCTGAAGTGTATCTCTCAATGTTGTTCTTTGTTAGTAATGAAAATAATTGAATTTTGAGGGTGAAATGAGTAGGTGGTGTGTCTGAAACCGACTTGAGAACTCCTGCGATAGCAATTATGATAATGAGGATGGTGATGCGAATGATCATATTGATAACATAAAACATTAAAATTCAAAATGAGGGTGTAGCATTTGGTATTAGAATTGTACTCACAGGAACTCTGGAAATCATGCACGTCGCAGTCATGTATGGACTATTCACATACATAAACTATGCATAACTATTTCCACTCAATTGTATTTAAAGCATAATATATACTGGGTTAAAACTAGAAGGGCATTAGAAAACACGTAGATTAGCTTGCTCTGCTCACCATAACAAAGTTCTTGTAATAAATGTAATGGTTTGATTCCATAGAAATGATTTCATGAGAAAACAACACATGCATGCTCTAGTACTAGTTCTTCATCCAAATGTAATAAAAGCTTTCAAGAATATACTTTATACAGCAGAGGGATAGAGGAGCCCGTATGTACCATCTTGGTCGCGAGAGATTGCTGCCCTGGGAATAGGAAAGTACGGCCCGCCTAGAATAGATTAAAACAATGAAACAATCAGATTGGCTAACATGCTTTTTATGGATGAAATAAATAAAGCTTTAATTCCAAAGCTCTTAAAGGAGTTATACTTTTCTTAAAAAGGTGGATTGTTTGTTTGTCCAAGGAACAAGAATCCATTCTCTACTTCCTTGGTGGTACAAACAATTCGTGGAAGGAATCAGTTACTAGAAATCAATTCTCTACATAATTTATGATTCAGAGAGAATATTGCTTGCTTAAAAGGTTGAGCTAAGAAATCAATGTTGTTGCTGTTTGTTTACATTGTCTTGTCTGCCGCAGTGAAACCATTTGAAAGCACATGTCAGAGCGTTTTTGCTAAAAAGAAAGATGGGGAAAAAAATGATGCAACCATTGGAGGAGACTCAAATATATAATTTTTAGAATTGTACTCACAGGAACTCTGGAAATCATGCACGTCGCAGTCATGTATGGACTATTCACATACATAAACTATGCATAACTATTTCCACTCAATTGTATTTAAAGCATAATATATACTGGGTTAAAACTAGAGGGGCATTAGAAAACACGTAGATTAGCTTGCTCTGCTCACCATAACAAAGTTCTTGTAATAAATGTAATGGTTTGATTCCATAGAAATGATTTCATGAGAAAACAACACATGCATGCTCTAGTACTAGTTCTTCATCCAAATGTAATAAAAGCTTTCAAGAATATACTTTATACAGCAGAGGGATAGAGGAGCCCGTATGTACCATCTTGGTCGCGAGAGATTGCTGCCCTGGGAATAGGAAAGTACGGCCCGCCTAGAATAGATTAAAACAATGAAACAATCAGATTGGCTAACATGCTTTTTATGGATGAAATAAATAAAGCTTTAATTCCAAAGCTCTTAAAGGAGTTATACTTTTCTTAAAAAGGTGGATTGTTTGTTTGTCCAAGGAACAAGAATCCATTCTCTACTTCCTTGGTGGTACAAACAATTCGTGGAAGGAATCAGTTACTAGAAATCAATTCTCTACATAATTTATGATTCCGAGAGAATATTGCTTGCTTAAAAGGTTGAGCTAAGAAATCAATGTTGTTGCTGTTTGTTTACATTGTCTTGTCTGCCGCAGTGAAACCATTTGAAAGCACATGTCAGAGCGTTTTTGCTAAAAAGAAAGATGGGGAAAAAAATGATGCAACCATTGGAGGAGACTCAAATATATAATTTTTAGAATTGTACTCACAGGAACTCTGGAAATCATGCACGTCGCAGTCATGTATGGACTATTCACATACATAAACTATGCATAACTATTTCCACTCAATTGTATTTAAAGCATAATATATACTGGGTTAAAACTAGAGGGGCATTAGAAAACACGTAGATTAGCTTGCTCTGCTCACCATAACAAAGTTCTTGTAATAAATGTAATGGTTTGATTCCATAGAAATGATTTCATGAGAAAACAACACATGCATGCTCTAGTACTAGTTCTTCATCCAAATGTAATAAAAGCTTTCAAGAATATACTTTATACAGCAGAGGGATAGAGGAGCCCGTATGTACCATCTTGGTCGCGAGAGATTGCTGCCCTGGGAATAGGAAAGTACGGCCCGCCTAGAATAGATTAAAACAATGAAACAATCAGATTGGCTAACATGCTTTTTATGGATGAAATAAATAAAGCTTTAATTCCAAAGCTCTTAAAGGAGTTATACTTTTCTTAAAAAGGTGGATTGTTTGTTTGTCCAAGGAACAAGAATCCATTCTCTACTTCCTTTGTGGTACAAACAATTCGTGGAAGGAATCAATTACTAGAAATCAATTCTCTACATAATTTATGATTCCGAGAGAATATTGCTTGCTTAAAAGGTTGAGCTAAGAAATCAACGTTTTTGCTGTTTGTTTACGTTGTCTTGTCTGCCGCAGTGAAACCATTTGAAAGCACATGTCAGAGCGTTTTTGCTAAAAAGAAAGATGGGGAAAAAAATGATGCAACCATTGGAGGAGACTCAAATATATAATTTTTAGAATTGTACTCACAGGAACTCTGGAAATCATGCACGTCGCAGTCATGTATGGACTATTCACATACATAAACTATGCATAACTATTTCCACTCAATTGTATTTAAAGCATAATATATACTGGGTTAAAACTAGAGGGGCATTAGAAAACACGTAGATTAGCTTGCTCTGCTCACCATAACAAAGTTCTTGTAATAAATGTAATGGTTTGATTCCATAGAAATGATTTCATGAGAAAACAACACATGCATGCTCTAGTACTAGTTCTTCATCCAAATGTAATAAAAGCTTTCAAGAATATACTTTATACAGCAGAGGGATAGAGGAGCCCGTATGTACCATCTTGGTCGCGAGAGATTGCTGCCATGGGAATAGGAAAGTACGGCCCGCCTAGAATAGATTAAAACAATGAAACAATCAGATTGGCTAACATGTTTTTTATGGATGAAATAAATAAAGCTTTAATTCCAAAGCTCTTAAAGGAGTTATACTTTTCTTAAAAAGGTGGATTGTTTGTTTGTCCAAGGAACAAGAATCCATTCTCTACTTCCTTTGTGGTACAAACAATTCGTGGAAGGAATCAATTACTAGAAATCAATTCTCTACATAATTTATGATTCCGAGAGAATATTGCTTGCTTAAAAGGTTGAGCTAAGAAATCAATGTTTTTGCTGTTTGTTTACGTTGTCTTGTCTGCCGCAGTGAAACCATTTGAAAGCACATGTCAGAGCGTTTTTGCTAAAAAGAAAGATGGGGAAAAAAATGATGCAACCATTGGAGGAGACTATAATATATATCCATTCCACGGCAACAATCGTAGTATTTAAAAAACTTATAGTTCTCCGCAATGAATCCCAAGCCGCAATTTGGTTGGGGCTGTAAACAATAGGCATGGCGCTAAAGCAACATGGTGGCACAAGCTGCACAGCAAGAATATTCCCCAATAGGCACCATGATCAAGCAAGCCCCTTCAACCTGGAGATCTTGTGTTTGCATGACTTCACCATCACCCCTCAACGATTTATAGAAGCCAGCATCGGTTCTAGGGATACTGCAGCTGAAACTTGCAGCAAAGAGAACAGCCCTGAATAGACCAAGGCAAGCATGAAAAATAGATGTTGGAAAGCCATGAAACAAATGGCAGCAAGCCACCAAAGAAATATGTGGGGATTAATTCATCTGCTCCTTTGTTGAGATACCTCTTCCTCCATAGAAGGTGCCAAGAATGCCATAAAAAGGAGTGACGGACGATAAACAAACGGTTTAACAACGCATCTATCCATGGTAATTTCGCTTGTCGATATCTGTTATTAGTTTGAGTTGTGAGAATCAGAGCATCTTTTGCTTCGATTAACATGAATGCTTACAGCAATGGGAGATGCTTAATGAAAAAGCTCATTAATCTGGGTGATTCAATGGTGAAGTTTTAGGATTCATCTATAACCTCCTGTTGAGATGCAATGCCATGAGATCTGAGCTCTTCTTTTTCAAAAAAGCAAGTTCTACATGCCTCTGTTTTTAAAGTAGTAGATAGATTTTTCCATTTCAATGACAAGGGAAGAGTCTGCAAGACTGCAACATCGACCGAGAGGGGTGGGGTCCCTCGTTTCTTCGACTTCCATAGCAATCATCTTCCATCCCTACATGTTTCTCTTCCTCTCTCTCGATCTTTCTCTCTTTTTATTTTGTCTGACAACATCTCAAAACTTAAATTTGTTCATTCTTGTTTCAAACACCCGTTGTCTACTTCTTGTAGCGAATAATGATTTATTGTTTCAAACGTCTCAAGACTTGTTACTGTTAAAATGGAATCTGAATATTCATACCTGAAAATTCTAATATATTAGAGAACCCAAAGCACATAAACGTGACAAAAACCATGCGATATCGACATATCTAATTCCATTAATGTATGTCTAGTGAATGGTAACTAGTGTTCAATCATGTCAACTTGCACAGCACAAATCAAAAAAAAAGGGCTTCCAACTCCGGCGTGTCAGCTTTGGAATCCATGAGCGGTTCCAGACACAAACAAATCCCACCTTTCAATACCCCCTACATCATATGCATCCCGAAAGGTAAATCACATAAATCGCCAATTAACAAGAATGGATTCACGTTCAAATATACATTCATAATGTACAATGAAACAAGAAGCCCCATAAATGAGTTGCACTGGGTAGAAAGTAGAAACCATTTTTACAACAATAACCACATATACGACTATCAGATACCAATCTAACAACAGATTTTCAAAAAACCATCTTCTGTACCAACAAGAAACAGTCGTGAGAAAGGCAAAATAGTTATGCTCGATAACACAGACAAGTTCCTTGATTCATGATCAGCCATGTAGAGATGCTGGGGTGTGACGCAATGCTTCCCATCCTGCCACATTACATCAATGCATCTAAATACACAAGAACGATAGCAAATAAAAATGAACAGTGATTTCAAAACTAACAGCTAGCCTGTGGCTTTATGCTCCTTTACCTCACATAATCACTCCCTCTTTCCCATGAATAACAAAACCACTCTATCACACTTTGAAAGCCTTACCTTCCCTTACTTATATAAAAGGGTGGGGTTGAGATAACAATAGGTGAGGTTTATGGATAGTGATGCTGGCCGGTACGTGGTTCTGAGGGTTCTATGGAGGCGTGGTAATGGGAATAGGTGTTGGGATAGGTTCAAGAGGGATGGTAATGAGAGCTGGCTCAGGCTTACTTCTATAGGGTCTACCTTTCATTGAATTGAATTTCAGCGAGGGTTGTAGGATAAGGGAGGCTGACAACTATGGATGGCTAGGTCAGGATAGCCGCCATCAGGAATGCTACATGTGGGGCCTTACCAATGAATGGTTGTTGAAACCTAGCCTTATATAGGAGTGGTGGACCTACGGGGCTCTAGTTACGTAGGGGCAAGCATTTGTTTGTGTCTGTCCAAAACATAGAGCATTTGGAGGTTGCGTCACAGATCTTGTGACACGAATTGTGTGAAAATATCATCTAATTTCTTCTTTGCAAAGATTGATATTAGCATTTCAGGAAGTTGCAAGTTATATGCCAAAACAAAAACATTTGATTTCTCGTATTAATGTGTAGAACCCATGAAAACTAGAATAAAAACTTCAAATATAACTCCAGAATCATCGTCATCTCAACATTTTTGCAACTGGAACGAGAGAAGCACCAATGCAAGTGTCCTAACTCAGCCATACTATCGACTGTAATTGATAATAGGACCTATCTAGCTAGGAGACCTTATTCGTGCAGAATGATCTGCTCTTTTTATGGAGACGAGTAGATAAGACATCACAAACAATCAGATATATGCACCTAGACCTAGTTTTGTTGTTATCAGAGCTGTATATGCAGCACTCACCAACAGTTTTGTAATTTTGCAATGGAAGTAGTGCATCTGTGCAGTAAACAAGGACACAAGAACAATTGCTACATACCTCATCAAACGATCTAGATAAAGAAGAAAGCCCAATCTTATTTTTGGATATTGAGATCAAATCTTGTCCCCAAACAGAGAAACTGGATACACTATCGTTGTGCCCTCTGACAACAATGGGTTGTGATGTCCAATTCCTGCAAATATGAATATGAGCAGGAAAGTTAAGGCTTGATGAGCCAGCAATCAGATGGTAGAGAAAATCTATGAAGCTTGCCAATGCAACTTCCATTAACCATAACCAGTTATGATGCTTTTTTCCAATTCCATCACTGTTAGATAAAAGAAATTTCATGGTTGAAGAAGCTACTTTATCAGGGAAAAGTTAACAACTATAAGGGGACAACACTGTAAGAATAATGATCAGAAGTTCAGAACAGTTCAACTACAAAAACCATTTGCAGATTGTAAAGAATCCACTTCAATCAGATTTACCTTAGTCAAGAAACAAATATTTTAACCTTGGGAAGAAATCTTAGTCAAGAAACAAAAATTTTTAAAATGCTAGTGGTCAAACCACAAGGTAGTAATCCATAATTTATCCTATTTTTAAAGTACATTGAGAATATTAATAGAATGGACCATAAATAGGGCATTACCTTCTCAAGTCCCAAATTCTTAGTGTCCTGTCAAGAGAGCTGGAAACTAGCAAATGATCCTCTGGTGCAGCCAACTGCAAGCACAGAGTGATGAATAAAATCCTATTTATATCACAACCAATTGTTTCTGACAATTTTAAACACACCTTCGTCACATAACCATCATGTGCCTGCCAGGAGGCAATAATATTTCCACTCCTCATATCAAGCAACCTGCAATTACCAGAACTTAGTCCAGCGGCAATCCAAGATGGAAAAGCTGCAGTTCCATTGGCTTGCATTTTGTCAAAACCAGAAGAGCATATAGAAGATATAAGGGACGGGAAACTGGATTCAACAGATTCACTCCTCCATAGATGAAGCTTTTGACCTTTGTTGAAGTCAATGAATCTGCGAGGAGGAAAGGCATTTAGGAAACTAAACTACACAAAAACATTTTCTTAGCTGCATCAGTTGGGAATGCAAATTTAACGTCGGGAAGAGAAGGTTACCTGAGAGAACCATTTCCGGTGCCCACTACAAGCATATCAGTGGATTCCAAGCAATGCATACTAGTGTACAAACTTCCATCAAATGCAGTAGTCATTATTCCACTTGATAGTGGATTGAAATTGAGTATATGAGCTTGATCAAAATTCATCTTTGGTGCAGAAGCTAAAGGGCTTGTAAGATGTGCAGAATTTGCAGAAAATTCAGTAAATACAGATATCAGTCTCCCCGTTTGACTATTCCAAACATGTACTGTTCCATCACAAGAAGCTACCCTTTCGGAGGATGGTAGTACGCAAATTTCATTAACAACCTGAAGATGGAATCAATAAACATAAATCAATCATTAGAACTAGTATCCATAGAAAGATAGCAGAGCATCAGTCTGACATATAAAGGACTGAAAGTTCTTTCAAAGCATGCACAACCAATTAAATGCCATGCATACAAAAAATCAGTTGATAGCTATTGTAACTAAACATTACCGTGTGCAAATACATCGAAAGACAATCAGGTATCAACAAGAATAATCCATATCTACTCAAATTAAATATTCAGTAAAAGTAGTATATTGTTAAATAACAGATTAGCTGTTAAATAATACGTAATTTGGAAAATGATAAGTTTGGCCTACAGCAGTAGAAGGAAAGAAGGGATTGCTTTAGGGTTGCTAGTGGAGGCAAAAGCATTCATGTACTCCACTAATTTGATATCATTTCTTTTGTATTCACCCATGACAAGTCAAAAGAGCATTTGCATCGTCTATATTATAAGTTTTACATTTTTTGTTTTTGGTCCGAAGTTTATATAACCAAGTTGCTGTTTTTTGTAAAATTTTCTGCCAAACCCAATGTATAAGGAAGCATCATACAAAGCAATTGCTTACTCAATCTTTTAATTACAAGGAAGCCTTACAGCACAATATTGAACTCCTCGATTACAGTACAAGGAACAAATTTAATAACCAAAACAGGCCAAAAAGAAAGGTGGCATTATATGCACTGCAACACAGGCATTAATAAATTTCAATTTTGCAGAGTATGTGTTTGGAGCATAGAGATCTCTACATTGAAAATTAAAGCAACATAAGAAATTGTTTCTGTTTGCATATTTGCGCAATGCAAATATTTTATATCAGCAAGCATGAAAAATTAAGCAAAAAAATGGAGCAGGCTTTTCTAAACTCAACAGTACGATTGCAGCAAATAGTAATACAGACGATCCAATTAATTTACGGGATAGAAGAACAAACCTCATCATGGCCATAGTATCCAGATAGACAATCAATTCTTGACAATTCCCACTTCTGAACAGTTCCCCTGAATCCTGGACCGACTCCGGCTGAGAAGACCGTGCACTCATCTCGGCAAACAGCAAAAGACCTTAGTGCTCCATGATGTGCACGGACAGAGTGTATAATAGATGATCTGATTTTCCATGGAAGTTCCTCCTTTATATTTCCAGGTCGACCAAGAAACTCAGGCCCTTCCCAGCTAGCTGCTGTGCTGGGGAACCAATACCAAGGTTCATGCTTTGCAAAAGTTGAGGTTGTTACATGCCTCTCAACTAGATTATTATGTTGATTGTATATTTGTTTTTGAGGCATCAAGTTTTTGGCACCTCTATTTCCTTGCGACTGCGGTATTGACCACCCTACCCCATTTAGCAACATTTTGGCAGGACTGTATTCAGATGTTGAGCTCTTGCTGAAACTAGGACTTCTAGCATCTCTAAATTCTGAACCACTTCGTGCAGGTTCCCCTGTGTATTCCCACTGAATCATGACCGGTTCAGACAAAAGAGGTGCAAATAGTATTCACATGTGTAACCCATGTAGCATTGATCTTCATAATAACAAGGAAATACTATCTTTGGAAGCATGAGAAAAGCATACCTTCCAATTATGACGACGTAAAAGAAACTGCTCAAGAAGCAACCACGTGGCACAGCACTGACGAAGTTTTTCTATTCCAAGGAGAGATGCAAAATGAGGATACAAAAGCAACCTGCAAATGTCCAATTAATCCACATGCTAAACAAGACAAGAAAGTCAAGTGCTTAAGCATCCCTGACACTTTCCTAAACGAAGTTTCATGAAATGATATGAAAGAGAACTGGAACCCACACAAGGTCCAGACGTCTTTCGGGCTGATCTTCCTCATCACCTTTGGTGTTGAAAATTTTCAGGCTTCCACCAAGAGAACCAAAACCACTGGTGGTCTCCTGAGAGAAAGCAAGCTCATCAAATAGCTCTTTGAGTTTTGGCAGGACATGCAATGCTGTTAAATCTGGCCCAATTTGCTGACAAACTGCAATGAGACCTGTAGCAGCAGCCTGACAAACAGAGGGATTGTAGCAGCACTGTAATTTATAAGGCTAGCAAAAAAAAGGTGGGCAATAAGAAGAAGAAACAATGATACACTATGAATGAGGAACTTAAGAATCATCTAATTGAATCACAAAGTAGAACTAAATTGAAGTGGACTTATTTCTGCTTCTATTTGTAACTCAAAAAAAGCATGTCAATGTCTTGACGGCTATGGGAATTTGCACTTAAAATCTCACGTCAGCAAGGTGTTGGGAGGGAATCCTAGGGAGTATCATAGGGGCATTGCACATCCAAAAACTGCTCACCCATTCCTGGAGGAGTGACATAGGTCTTTGCCTCAGGTAAAATGCACTCCAATTTAATGACTTCATAAAAGAAGCACAAATATAAGACCAACAACCCCACCCCCCTTCCCCCCCCAAAAAAAAAAAACAAAACATAACAAAAAGGGCATCTTTGCACCAGTAGCTCTACTGAAGGTCATTTTACAGTTAACATCTACCATTTAGCAAGGAAAGGTTCACATTTTTACACGAAAGGAAGCAGCTTTGGAATTGTCAGTATTAAACTAGTTAGTTGTTCCTTGCAACAATTTTTCATCATAACATTATTCTAATCTTGTAACTCTGTATGTGCTTGGCTACTTGCAATTTTACTTCATTCATCACTTATATCTTTTCAGGCATGTTATTAGTTTTATTTTTATTTTTATTTGCGTGCCGGGGGGGGGAAGGGGGGAAAGAAGGGGAAGGGATGAGGTTAAAGAAAAGATAATTTTCCCCATTGCCAGGGAAGGTCATTGTCTTATTGATTAGTTGTTATCCACTTCAAATCTCCAAAATTGCTTGCAATATAGTTCATAGCATGTTTCAAGTGTAGTTTATAACATACTGATTTTTACTTCAAAATCATATCACCGTCAAACTGCTCGCTCCTAAACTAATAAATGGACTCCTTTACCACCAGCCTGGTTTCTCACAAAATTTTCAGGAGAATTTAGTCTCAAGGAATTTTGCAGCAAAAAATAATGAAACTTTTTTATTCACCGCTTCGTAGTGTTATTCAACTCTCATGTCATAAATATTTGTTCCATGTATTCGGAAATCACAACCTGGAAAAAATAAAAAATAAAAAAGGGGCAGTCAATAAAAAATCCGCCACTACAAGGTCAAGGAAAGGTATATGTATGCAACCCTTACCCACACATGAGAAGGGAATATTTATGTGACTCAAATCCATGACGGCCACGAGACAATGAGACAATCTTATCATGGGAAAATGATTATAAACAAAAATAGAAATATCCCTGTGTATCAAACACGTGTTTTCAAAAGGATGCATAAACCTAAAGCATCATAATGGACAGATCTAATGGATTAAAGTGGATAGCAAGATCTGCTTGTCTGCATTACCAAATAAAAAAGGTTTGCATCTGAAGTGTAGGTCTTCTGCAGTAGATGATGCAGAGCATGATAACAAGAGAAGAATTTCAGACATAGTGCACTATAGACCTTCTCATTGTTTATCCAAATAAGACACATTTTTATGCCATACAACACATTTGTATACTAACTTGACAATTAAAGGCACAAAAATTTCTGACCAAAAAAAGGGCACAAAATTCCATGCCCTCTCAGAAGAGGGAAAGGAACAAAGGAAATGTTATGGATATAATTTCCGTTTCGACATGCATGATGACGATCTAACCAAAACAAATCAAAACTGTGGCACACCTGGAGCACAGGAATTCCCAAATGGGTATGCATGAGAATCCGAACATATGGGCAACTTCCTTCCTGCATTAGTTATCGTGAACATGCAATTAATTTGTCAATTCGGGTGCTCAAAATAGGAACGAATCCAACCAACTTAATTAGAAGTGCAGATCAAGTCTCATACTTCAATAAGCTCTTTTACAACCACCTCCCTCGGTAAGACTGCAATAAGACCATCTAATGCCATTAGACAATCCATAAGGGCTAAAATGGTCCAACTCTGCATAGGTTCAGGCTTATTCACATATGAAACATCAATACAACGACGAATAACATTTCTCAGTAGTGGTAGAATCTGTTTGACAACAAAATTCTCTCCAAAAAGACTGCCTGAAAAGTAAAAACAGACGTTTAGCCAATTGAAGAAGCAATTTTCAGATAAAATAAGAGTTCCTGAGCGAATAAACTGAAAATACCAATTCTAACAACAACATCGATCCCATCACTGGAAAGCCCTTTCCCGAAACAGTGTACCAGAGGTAAGATTGTCTGTGTAATGGCTGAAAGGTTAGAGTGTTTCAATAAAAGGCTGCCAAAAATCAAAAAATATTATCTTCAACATTAACAGAACAGAATCCTTAAATCCCTTCATCTGTCAAATCACAAAACTGAGAAAAATAAATTTGGTTTGACCTGATGAACTGTAATTGGTACCCCAAGCTCTTCACTAGAGCCGATCAGCAGCACAGAAGCGGCAGCAGCAGAACTTTTATGAGTAGCAACATACACATTCGATATAACCAGAGGATGTAATGTCTCTAGATACGCATGTTTACCGATTTGAATCCACACCTCCTGCACAAATGAGTCTTGAAGAAGTGAAAGTTTCAAATGTGAATAACCTGTGGCCTGGAAAAAATGTCTCATCATGTAAGATGTCAAAAAATAAGGCCATGTACACCAGCCATATGTTTAAAAACAAAGTTTACAACTAGCCTGTAGAATCTTCTGGATGGCAGGTACGACGAGTGTCTTTATAGCTTTCTGATTCAGACACTTCAAGAATTCTTTCAGTAGTACATAAGCCCAGTCAGCTTCATTATCTGACAAACGAATCACCACAAGAGGTAAACAATGGAAAGCACACATTTCAGCTGCAAAATTCCCCATTGCTTTGAGGGCTCCTCGTTTCGCAAAACTTGCAGCATAACGAAGATGTGATCCATCTTTTGCTAATAGTTGAAGTGGAGCTAGAAATAAATAGGATGACCGAACTGTTGGTGGGAAATATGGAGATTCCAAAAGACACCTGGCAGAAGGCCTTCTATAAAAAAAAGAAAACTATATTTTAACTCTTTGCAAAGTACCAAATAGAATAGATATGACAAAATAAACAAGGAAACACTTTGAAGTCCACCGATAACCACATTTAGGAAAGGAAAGGGAATGGGAATTTACAAACTTATACCTCTTCCAATCCCTTCGAATGCATGCTTCAACAAGCACTCCAGTGTGAGGGGGAAGTTCCTGCAACAATCTAGGTAAAGCACCACTTTCCAAGTACACAGCTAATGAGGTCGGATCAAAAAGTGGCCTCCTCAAATGAAGTTCTGCTAAAATGCAACCAATTGAAAATATGTCCTTAGCAATATCCTCAGAAGAAATCGTTGAACAAGATGATTTCTGCTTCCAAAGCAGTAGCTCTTGGTATCCCATAGAACTTTCATCATCCAACTCAATATTCTCGAGAAGATAGTTTACAATAACTGATGGCAGCATATTGTTGAAGCCATAATTATGTGTTCTAGATGTATTTTTCCCTGAACTATCGCTCAGAAGTTCTTCTGCAGAAGACCCATCCTTCGCAGGATCTTTTAGATGGTAGCTATACAAAGGACCTAAATAACGAGCATGTTCACAAAATGCAGCTGCTTCTTCCAATTCTTGCAAACGAGCAGTTTCAAGAAGGAGAGGTTGCTTGTTCACAACTGCATTCACTTGTGACGGTGCTGACCCTGAGGTACTGTCATGATCTTTAATGGTAGCACATCGTCGAGCAGGGTGTGGTTGACTAAAAAGCTGGCGGCGTCCAACTGATCTCGGCATTGTGGGCGCCGATGCAGGCAACATTACATTCTTGGCTGCAACAGCTGCCCCACCAGACATTTTGTATCCAAAGGTGATGTCAATCCAATGATGAATTTGGCGTGAAACTCGGTTGCTTTCTAAAGCATCTCTATGCAGTATAATGAATTCTTCAGGAGAACTCGCCCATGAAGGTACTGCCAAATCAGACATACCAGAATGTAGAGAATAAAAAATCTGGGGATCACAGTAGAATTCAGGGATGCACTCATCAGGGGTCCACTGGTAAAGTCTTTGCATAGTAGAAGGATACTCATTTGGTTCATAGACTGAACGAACAGCCACACGCAGAACACCCAAAGGTAGCCTCCTTGCTTTGTAACTGCAGACAGCCAGTTCAGAGAGGCATTCATCTGACACATGATGTGGGATTTCAGATGTTGAATACGTAAAGTCCAACTGTTCATCACCTTTTGCCAATCGCCACTTGCTCTTAGTTAAATTCCGCCACCCTGCATCATTATTTTCATCAGGTATTACACTAAAATCTATAACCCATGGCATAACCGTATGAAATCTGTGGTCACCCCACCTTCTCCCAGCTAATCTGTTTAAGATGAGCAGATAATCAAAGTTACTCAACTCTCCACTCCACCAACAGTTAAAACAAGAATGCCAATCTATAGATTTTGAAAGCTTCAAATCGGCATAAAGTGCTTGAGAAGGACAACCTTCAATGCAGCAAGCTATCCTGGAAGAAGGGAGGACAGAGTATTCTTTACCACTTGAACTAGCATTGGAGCTTAACTGTGGTCTATCACCAATGCACAGCCAACACCAGCATGAATCAGTCAACATTACATTTGATGGGCATATATTACCATGGGGAAGCGCTAAACCATGCATGTGAGCCAAGGCAGAGAGTAGCTGGTAGATTAAGAAACTTATATGCCAATCAGACTTTAAAGCATTGGGACTATAATGAAGAACATTTTCCAAGGTGTAAGGACTTTTTGGAAACAGTAAATTAATATGACTGGATGTTTTCAGAATCCCCAGAATGGGAGCTATGTTTGGATGCCTTATGCAGCCAGGAAAGGAGTCCTCAAATGATGGTATCCCAGTTAAACTGAGAAAATTTATGCTGTCCCGTCCCGTTGCTTTTCCTTCTAAGAGGGAACTAAGTGAGCACAAAATATGATCTTCAGCAAACCCAGATAAGAAGCTTAAAGCAAGCTCTTTGAATGCACCATAGGATGAAATTCCAATGCGAGCAATAGGAGCCAAGGCAGTGATTGTCCTTGAGCAAGAAAACCTACCAGAAAAGCTACAGGTCAAACTTTTGCAACCTAATCCAGCTAGAAATGTTTCTCTGCCACCATTGGACAAACATCTAGATTCCTTCGAGGAAGTTCCTAGTGTGGTTTTACTTCTATCTTCGTGCGTTCCATCACTGACCTCTGCTTGGTCTTCATTTGCTACCACTGATATTGTGTCAGCCATCCCATTGGTACCACTGCCTTCAAGATCTTCCGGACAATACTCATCACTGCAAAGAAGAAAGCAACCCGACCACATCATATCAGTGTAAATCGAGCTTGTATTCCACATGGAATGAGGTTGATTCATATGCTTAAGGGCCCTCCACTCATTGTCAATTGGTTTTGGGTTAGATGCTCTAATAATCAAAACTCAAATAAGATCACTCCAATGAATATTTTGAATTTAGTAATCCTGCCTCAAAGGTGGCCCCATTCAAACCCCCATTATCTAGAACATGCTGATACAAGGCTAAAAATTCAAGTATCCAGAATAAGATAGTTGGGTAGTAAAATTTCACCACTTATGTGTTAAAGTTGGTGTTGGTATACTGTGCCATCTGTACTCCGGAGGTGTTTGAGGGTGAGGATTCCATAACATCAGATGTTGGTTGTGTTGAGCGCTTCTTGGGAAGACTGGCTGACTCCATATGTGTGAGCTGGAGAGGGATAGATTGTGAAGGAGACTAATAGAAATAAAGTGGGGGGACACATAAGGGAATGAATACCGAGAGAGGGGAGGTGAATGGTACAGCTGGCTGAGAATCAGATTTGATAAAATGGATGGTGCAGGAACATGGCTTTCAAGGAATTTTTTCCAAAGCAGTTTATGGCTGTAGGGAACAGGGATGTCTCAACTATGGAACATGTAAATTGCTTACCACATCTGCCTACACAGCACATTTTTCAGAGCGATGAGAGTATTGGAAGTTTGAGGGGGCAGGAGACTTCTGTGGAACACTTTTAAGTCACTTTAGTGGCAAAAAAAATTCATCATTTTCCTTGGCGAGGCTCTTGGTGGACATTAGGCCAGTAAAGGCAGTGTTTCTTGTTATCACAGCAACTCTGGAAGCCAGTTTAAAGCAATGATGTAGAGAAGATGACATAAGATTACTATAAAAAGGAGTTTTAGGTGCAGGAGCGATGAAGGCAATGAATCACAATATAAGGCATTGTGCAGTTGCAAGGGAGATGTGCTTTTAATGGAGCCCATGGAAATAGAAAAACAGGTGGATTTGCGATGAAGTAAATGCCCCCATTCCCAAAGTACCTGTTGAACACGTTAGTACATTGATTTTTTTTGTAATTAGTGCATACACGTAGATGTAAATACAAGTGCCTTTTATTTTTGATCAAGTATTTAGGGTAAGTCCTTTTCATGACCTTCAATTCAAAAAATTAAGTGAATTTGTCCACGTCGTAGACCCAACAGGCCTCACATTTTAACAAATTATCACTGGCATTGAGTTCAACATTCTGACTGATAAATTTCCAAAGGTTAAATTAGTAGCATTGTACCTTGTAGCGAAAAATAAGTATATACAGAAATTCCCATTTCTAAAAGCCTTCTAATGACGGATTTTGTTTTTCCCACTTTGTGTAAGGCATGACGAATATCATCCATTAGAAATTACAGCAGATAGCTTCGCAAGAGCTTAAATCTCTCAACAGGACATCGCTAAATAAATAAATGAACAAATATGTAAATATGAGATGATCGTACACGTAGTTGGTCAAGCAATCGTCTTTTTGCCTCGGTATATACACCAATATAAATTGAGACGAACCCTCTCCATTAGAATTCGACGTCTGCAGCAAAATTTAACAAAACATGAACAGAAAATAGTATGTGCGTGTGTGTGTGTGTGTGTGTATAAAACAGTACGCAGAGTACCTGAACGATGGCGCTGGAGCCAAAGGGGAGAGCAGAATCTGAGAGGCCATAGGAGAAGATGAGTTTGTCAGAGAAATCTGATTGAATTTGGCGTTGAAGACACTCAAAGCACATTCGATTTTCCATTTTCGCGAACACTGCAGTTTAAGCTCCCTCCATTTCCAAGGAGAAGTAGGGAGATTCAATGGAATCCAATACAAGACCTGTTGGATTTTTGATTAACAGAAGAGTCCCGGAAGCGTAGTTAGTATACACAACGAACGATGATTGGAACAACACCCAGACCTAGTTCTAGTTCAAATACGGTGCACTGGAAACCAAATCAATACGACGTTGTTTGAATGTCCCTTGCTTTCTATTTTTCCTTTTGTGTTTTCTCCTATATTCAAAGCAACTCAAAATTGGACACGATTGCTTTTGGTTGTCTATAATTGTGCACAGTTTTCTCTAGGGCAGGTGATACCAGGATCAAATTTTCGTCTTAAAACCGTTGAAATATTTTTATTTTTAAAAAAATTAAAATAAATTAGTGATAAAATCAAAATTTTAATACTATGAAGTATTTTTTGGATTTCTTCTTAAAGTTTGGATATCATTTTGATCTGCAAGCTTGACTATTTCGATCAAGATCATGTGATCCAAAAGGAGGCTATTCTATTGATATTATGTACTTTCGTTTATTGGAATAATGAGTCACTATCCGATCTCGGATCTGATAGAAAGGAGAAGTTCAATAACTGTATTTTAGAATACAAGTCAGATGATGCAAGCAAAATACCAACATTCATTTTTATTGGGTTTCACAGTCCAAATTAGAAGTTTTGAGGTATTTTGTAATATTTTAATATATTTGTATAATTATTTTAGAATATTTTAAGGTATTTTTAAGCTATTTTAATATATCTTAACCAATATTTAGAAAAAAATAATTTTTTATTTTTTTTATTATATTTTTAAAACAGAGTCGAAATATTTTTGAAACATGTCAAAATATTTTTGTTTATAAAATAATCGAAATAATGTGCCAAAATAAAATTTTGATTGTCGAGAGATAATAAGTGGTTCAAGCATTTCAAAAAGTGGGATGGTCATTGGTATTGGTATTGGTATAAGTAATACTATTGGATGTCAACACTTCACTTAAAATATAAATTTAATGATGTTATCCAATTATATTGTTATAATTATATGCATTAAACTTTTCTAATAGAAGTATATATAAATTTAACTATATCACCAGCCACCTAATTCGTTAAGATATTAGTTGAGTTTTTTTAGTACTCAATAAATATTATTCAACTGTCATGACCTTAGAGTTTTAAGTTTGAATTGTATATTGGTTGCAAATGAGAGGATTTGTCACTTGTAACTTCCATGTGTCATAGCATGACTTAATTTCACAATCAAATTTACAAAGTTTTGTTATAGGTTCTCTCAAGTAGGGCACAAGTAGTCTTCCACTTTCAAGAAATAATAGAGAGTAAAAGAGAGAAGAAAGAAGGAAGAACAATTCATCAAAAGAAATTGTGAGAGAAAGAGGAAAGACATCGATAACATCTCATTTCGGGTAACAGGCAACATTCAAAAAGCATATCATTTGGCCTTGAGGTGAGTGAAGTGTATTGACCAGCTACGTATTTTTCCTGTATCCCTAAATATTTTAAAAATGATACATAATGCTTGTTCATTACTACATGTACAAAATGTTTTACTAAGTGTCTATATACTTATGACATACGATTCTCATTATCTTGATGAATACTTTTGTGAAGTATTGTAACTTAATCACTTGTTTATATGGTGAGACTTTGTGATAGTGAATGGGACCATGATTGAAAGTCTAGGAAAATTATTCCTCTATGTGAGGGTGACTCTGGCCACTAGGGAACAGATCCGAGGGAGGCTGAGGTGACCCTAGTGCTCAACAGTTGAAGGAACAGTGTCTGGTGCATCCTAGTGACCTTCACCGAATCGTCTAAGGGAACAGAGACGGAACAGAGATGGGAGAGACTGTGGTGACCCTAAGTACGATGTTGAATCCAACCTTGAAATATATTTTGGCATTTGGTTAAAATTCCAGGAAAATTATTTCTCGGGTGACCCTGGCCACTAGGGAATAGACTCGGAGAGTCTGAGGTGACCCTAATGCTCAACGGTTGAAAGAACAGTTCTTGGTGTATCCTGGTGACCTTCACCGGATCGTCTTAGGGAACAGTTTTCGAGCGGCAACCCGTGGTGACCCTAAGTACGATGTTAGATCCAACCTTGAGATCTTCTGGCATTTGGTATGGTTCCCAGATATCGTACAAGTCCTTACCAGTATGAGATGAAGATATAATTTATTATTGTCACAACGTTTTTACTGGCTTTGTTTATGATTGTCTATCGTATGTCATACTTATTTTCTTGTTATCAGTTATTATATTTGGTATTTTGGTATGATTTTTTGTTAGAATCCGACTGTGTTATTCTTGAGAAATTGGTTATTTTGATGAAGTTATTTTTCCAAACCTTTGATTTACATGTCATGTGCCAAAAATGTTTTTCCGCTACTTTGAATATGCATGTCTTTCCATTCACTGGGCTTTTTAGCTAATGTTTTTAAAATAATATTTTTTTTAGGTAAACAATTGGAGTGTCAATAGCGGACTCAGGGAATTGATTGGAGACTAATAGTGTTGTGACCTCCGTAGGCCCTCTTTACTTGTTTGGATAATTGGGACAAACAGGTTTAGGTATGTTGACTTTAACATATTGACATGAGATCAATTTAGCTATGTTATTTTTCACTCGTATATTATTAATTTATTATTAGGCTTACGTGTTCCATAGGTTATAGATTTGTGGTTCACGGCCGATCATGCCTTGGAGTTGGGGTGTGACAGTACCTCTTAAGACTTTGTTAGAGATGTCATTCTTTACCATTCGCATTGTCCCAGTTGTGTGCTTTTACTTCCAAGGTGGGCAAATAGATCACATCAAGATTACCTAACTTTTTGTTTTTTTATATGGTACCGAAAAATTTGTGGGTTGTACCGTAGTATACGCCTTATTCCTTTTTGAACAAAGGTCTACTTTGTCACTTCTGCTGCGAGGAGGATGAGGATGCGCCTCGTCCTTCTGCGATATTGCAACCTTGTAATTCGAGAAAGCCCAAACTTATCACGTCAACTAATGATCTCATTTTCTTTTACGACGTGTCACTCTATAGTGTGTACAAATATCTTGATTTTATATCCTTTTGTCACACAACTGGGCAGTGGAATGAACTATTCTGCTTCATTCCTATTGCTTGGAAAAATGATTGTACAGTTGACTTCGTACCTAGCCAGCTAAATTCCTTTGATATCACTGTCAGATATATATGTTTCCTTAGCTTTCACAGCCAACCTATCAAGTCTTAGGCTAGCTTTTCAGCTGACACTAGACACTACACTACATTACTTTCTCCCAATTATACAACTACTATCGTCTTTTGCAATTTCACAAGCTCTAAGATGTTGCCCCTGTTGGAAAAATAGGCTTTTTCACAAGTATAAATCAATGGAAGCAATATAAATAAAATAACAGAAAATAAATAAGCACACAAGATTTACGTGGTTCTCTCAAATATCTTGAGGTACATCCACGACTACCGGTAGATCAGTTTCTTCCACTATCACCAAATCAGATTACAAAATGGTCAAAAGGCATAAGCCTTACAAACACACCAAGGTGTAAATCACAAGAGGAAAATACCTCACAAAATAAGTGAACAAAATCTCCAAGAACAAACCGCAAGCCAAATATCAAGTGAAGAAATGTTACCCACTTGAAGAACAAATTTACAGATTTTTCTGGCACCAAAAAAGAGAAGAAGAAGGCTGAATTTTTGTTGAACCAAAGACTGCCGAAAATATGTCTTCTTGCCAAACCAACAGAGAAAAGATGAACCAAAGAAAAGGACAAAACTTATAGTCTTTGGTGACTGCCAAATTCCTTTTAACTTGAAGACTCCAACCAAGTCTTGGATAAGAGTCATACACGGGTAAGCCACCAAAAAATTAGCAAATTGATGAGTCCCACAAAGGAGGGAAACCCAACACCCCCTGGCAACATTTGCTGATTTTTATTGTGCCCCTGCTGTTACAGATTAAGTTACTGTTTAATCATGTGTTCCTCTCTTTTGAATCTCAAAATTCAACCCCCCCCCCCCCCCCTTCCCCCCAACCCTCCTATAGTCTTAAAAATTGAAAAGGGCATACCCACACCCACACAAAAGCTTAAACTAAAACAGTAGAAATAAGAAAGAAAAAGAAATCAGGAAAAACAAAACATGCCACCACTCAAGTTATATATTCAATTACACAGGTGTGTGCATATACTTTTTTTGCTTGGGCAAATCTTTTGTTTGCAAATACAAAACGCCATACTTGCCTTTTCAATATGTTTGTATTTGACTTATTAATTCATCTACTATTGTGATCGTCTGCAAGAAAACAGATGATGTGTCATTATGTGGGCGGGCAGGGTTGGTACTTGGACATCCTGGGCTGGGAATATCAGAGCATCTACCTCAGGGAGTAGGGACAGGCAGTGCCTATTCTGATGTTCAATACCCTCATCTCAATTATGATAAAATGATTCTGGTTTTGGTGTCTGTCAGCCACTGCTAATGTTAGTTGAGTAAGCTTACACCAAACTACTTTTAGATAAGATTGCAAGATCTAAATCGTCACATAATGGTGGTTGCTTTTTCTTTTTTTTTTTCCAATTTGTGCATGTTTTACAAGATGATTGTTGGGAACAAAAGTGAAAGCACTTTGTTTAAGTTAACAAATGCCAGAGATAGAAAAAGTAGCATTTTCCATAATCAAACTAGCTAGTGCTGCAGTTGTGAGGTCTACCTGCTCTGAAAGTGTGTGTTTGTGTGTCAGAGAGAGAGAGAGAGAGAGAAGCATCAATTGACTCATGATCCACCACTGACAGTCAGATCTTCTGAATCCAAGTAGAGGAAATCCACCCACGGAACTGCAGTTAAGTAAGATACCAAACAGGATAGATTCCAATTACTCGTGGGATATTGATGTACATATATGAAGAGTGCAGCATAGTGGAAGTGGGTCAGGTATTCTTTAGTCGTAGTTATCATAATTAGTGCGGGGCTTGAAAAGAATGATTATATAGATGATGCAGTAGTACTGCTGTGTAACTAGTTATCCAATGTTCTCCAAACTATCAAACCTCAAACTTTTATTTCAATTAGTGCTGTAACCTTCATTGTGACCAAACAGCCATGTAATTGCCACTTCAAATGTACTATTAATCTTGCAACAAAATAGCAATTTCATTTAATTAATTTATTGCGAGGTTTGTGTCAATTCTAAAATGGGGTATCGAGATCATCTGTTTCTTTCTCAAAGTGACTAGTTTATACCTATATTTGAGCATATGTGTTTCTCACATTTTGCATCAAAGAACAAGTTCTTTACGGAACTAGATCTTGCTTAGCATACAAGGCCTGAAACCTTGAACTACAGCCATTGATTTTGGCAGCTTTTCAAAAAAAACCTTTAGTACAAAATATTCCAATTAGCTGCGGTTTAGCAAAACTTTTTCTTCTTTTTTTTTTTTTCACAATTCTCAATATTTATGTTAGTGCCTGTTGATAGAAGGATTTGATAACCACATCCTGTGTAAGGTTGGGTTTAACACAAATATATGCCAACAGACAGCATATATAGGGCCCACATGCCAATTAGTTGGGTAGGCTGCAGTTTTCATAATTGGAGTGACACCTATATTGTAGGAATGTGTCTATTAGCTAAAATTGAGTGAAACCCACCTTGCTAACTCCATTGTTGGCAGAGGTTAATAGGGAACGGATGGTGGACCTAACAACTACGGCCAACAACTGACTAGTCATTCTGTTTGCAACCTTCCTTATGATTCACTTAAAGAAGAGAAATCCTAAAGCAGTTTTGGAGTGAACCTCCCAACTCCTTCTCTTTTTCACTCCAAGGTTAACACATATTTCTCTCTAAATTTAAAAACTCTATGGTTAGCAGTTATTTTGGTTAACCATATACCAAATCCAATAACTTTTGCTTTTCTTTCATCAACCAAGCAATAATTGTTAGTGCTCATTAGCATTGAGGGACTGCATAATGATGTTTGGGCCCATTAAACGGGGGGATTAGGATGAAAAGGCAACTATGCTTAAATGTTGGGGCCTAGAATTTAGTGGCTTGTCGCATCCTAGAAAAAGAGAGATCACAGAATATATAGTGATGCTCCCCAAAAGTTCTTAGCAGACTTCTATTGCTAGTTCTTTATCAACAAAGGTACATTAATATTTATGGGTACTTTTCCCAATTTCACAAATATCCTTGAACCTCTCTTTCTCCCCCAACTCTCCTTAAATAGCTCAGCATGGGCTGTGTGGTTGTATGTATCTCTTTCATCACTTCTTAGCTCTGATTTTTGTTTTTGTTTTTTTTCCCGAGTGTCTCCAAGTGTCCTTAAATAGCCCATCAAAGGCCGTGGAAACTCTTTCAGATCATTTAGCTCTGGTATAGATTGATGGGACTCCCTCAATCCCCAAGCCCTCCTCACCTTTACCCTCACTCCCTACAACTTAAGCTTTACCAAGCTTTCATATTCTCTATTCCAATCCTTTTCTCTATCATACTGGTTTTGTTGTTTTACTTGTTCTATCTCAAGAGGAGGGCTTCTAGTTTCTCAGCACATCCATCAATTCTTCCAAGGACAATAAATCATGCCACTCAATTCATCCCCTCAGTAAGACCTCTCTCTCTCTCTCACACACACACAGCATAAAGCACCAGCATTTGTTGCTTGTCTAACACAATATGCAGATAACTCAGTGCGTTAATGGATTCAATGGCTAGTATAGATTCACAACTCGAAAACAATTTTGATTGTGATTTTCCCTATTTTTCATGTCAAATGCAGCCTTGCCAAATGGGCTTGAAAGGAGAATTAAAAGACAAGCTTCCAACCGTCTTGTTTGATGAAGATCTAGAGACAAGGGGTTCAGTGTAAGCTTTTTCATATGTGCATGTTAGTTTGGTTAACTCACTGCAAAAAAATGTATTGATACAGTAAACTTATGATAAGGCTGAAGTTATATTCAATAGTGGTTTGGGGGCATAATAAACAATATATTTGAACAGATTTTTAATAATTTTGACCCTTTTGTCTGCACGACATAGGATTAACATCCTCTTCATTACATTAATACTTACTTTCACTCAATGGTAGAATTAGCTACCTACCATGATTCAAGAATTCAAGTCAAACTCATTATTTATGAGTGAGCCCCTCACTCATACACGGTGGATGGTTTACCATCAACCTCATATTCACATAGTGGATCAACTAAAAATGAACAATCGAGATTGACTGTCCTCCATGATTGTCATGCAGAATGCAGCTTGTAAACAACCATCTTCACTGGCATAACTTTGGATGCACAAAGTCCGATCTTGCTTGGTCGACTTTCATGACAGTTAAAATGTCTAATAATTATCCACTACTTTCCCCAAAGTGAACTGTTTTGGGAATTATAAAGCATTGAAAGAGTAGAATAATAGATTAGTGTCATTGATCTTTACAGGTATGATGTGCTCCAATATAGACAATGGCTAATATAAAATAGAAAAGTGGGAAACAATTGCATGCTTTTTGTTGATGGCGCTAGCAAAAAGCTATGCTTATATTCTCTTGAGCTAAGAGGAGCAGAGCACTACCCAAATTTCCTCATGTCATTACCAAGAAATGGTTTAGCACTAGCTCACCCAACTCTTAACAACACACATAAATCTAATTGGTTGGTCTTAAAGTTGTTTGGGTTTTGGTTGTTGAAGTAATGTTTTTACTGTCTAAGGCAATTTTTTTGGCAATTTGATGGCAGATGTTGTGTGTGTCTGGGAGAATTTGAGATGAAAGAAGAGTTGGTCCAAGTGCCATGGTGCAAACACATATTTCACATGGATTGCATTAACCACTGGCTTTGTTGGAATTCGACCTGTCCCCTTTGTAGATGCCCTATTACAACAGCTGGAACCAAACCTAGCCCTCCAGAGTCGGTACCTTCTCAACCCAACTTGCAGCAAGAAAGCAATAACCAACCCACAGTCATTTTGGAACAGCCACAAAGACAAGGACAACAAAATCGTTCACAAGAACAAGAGGTTATAATTATGGAACTATCGACTACAAGTACAGGTTCAAGGCAACACCATGAAATGAGTGGTCATCTAGATCCAGAATCAATTGTTATACATATCCAAACGCACAGTTCATGAGCAGCCCTTCAATTTGAAGATGAAATAAAATCGTTTTGTGATGCCTCGAGATTGTATTGCCTCCATTGTATGCAAAGCCACAAATTCTTATGTGTCATATCTTTCTAAGAGCTGGCTGGACTTGCTTCCATTCCACCACCAATTAATGTTTCTGTCCTCATGGACTTTGTTAATGCCATAAGATAAGACGGATGCAATGGGCAACTTACAATTTTTGCTGTCCTTTTCTCCTTTTTTTTAAATGTGATATGGGATTTTTCAATCCATCAAAAAGCTATTAGGCACAGCTGGGGTTTTTCGTGAGATTACCATGATAGAATTGAATCAAACTTTTAAGTGAAAAGTATAGTATTACAAGAATATAAAGATAAAAAAAAAAGACAAAGAGCAGGATGACGTAAGCAAATTGCTTTTGATATTACTCAAGCTCTGCCCACCCCTGGATTGAGACGAAATCGTCAGTGTCAGAAAAGTAACGAATTGAAGAACAATGCGCAAAATGCCATGTTGCTTCTTACGTAGTAACTTTGTCATATTATCAGAGAAATGTTTGACTGATAAAACCTGTACTTGGCTGCTTTGTCCTTTTCATGCTCACACACCAGACCAATTGCTCGTGCGAAAATTTGATGACTATATTAATTAGTGATGTTAGAATGACTCTCTAAGTGTTGACCCCCATATTTCTTTCAATTCTTCAAGAGTAATTTCTGACTAGGGAAAATTCATTCACTGAACGTTATCAATAAGGGTTAAAGTTAAAGCAGAGGATCACGAATGCTGCTTCATCTCATTTCTACACGTGACAGTCAGGGTGACATCGTAGTAATTACAAATAAAATAAAATAAAATAAATACGTTAAGAAATAAAAAAGCAAGCTGCACTCGTAAATAACAGAAGGAACATATAAAGAGGAGGAAAGAGAGAGTTAAGAAGAGGGATGGTCATTAACGTTAACTCCACAAAACCTAAACATTGCATACTTGAACCAAACTCCACACATGATATCTGCATACACACAAAAAACATAGTTAGCAATTCACTTGTAAACCTGGTGTTGTATGGATGTAGGAGATGGTCATCAGCTGGAAACTCTCAAGTGTCAATGGTCGTTAAAATGTAAGTGGATGATTGACATATTTAATATAGTTAAGATATATAAGTGAATAATTAAAATATTTAATCAATTGATTTACAGTGATTTAAAGCTAAAAATATAATTTATAAGATAAAGCGTCAAATCTAAACGTTGTAACCGTCATTCTAGTTGTAAAATGTTGTTTTAGCCATGATGATTGTTCGGTTAGGATGCAAAGGCAATCATTCAAATTAGTTTTCTTTTATCGGGAGGCATTAAAATTTAGGTCTTAATCAGCAGAAAAAAAAAAAAAGAAAACTATAATCACCTCTCTCCGGTGATCAGTCATCCCTGTAGTACAACTGAAAGCAATGGGCCGTCTCAAATTCAAAACTTTCGCCATCAGAATGGCATTAGTGGCACTGATGGGATTTGCAAACAAACCAAAGCCTCAAACAGCTGCTAGGAATTAATCAAACAAGGCCTTCTACTTCCTGCTAGCCATTTTAAATTCATATAATTGATAAGATCAACTCTATAAAACTGACAATAGTTCATAATTCTATATCTCTCGGTTAATCACTCACCTAAGTTATGTTTCAGGGCCACGTCTATCCAGTTTGCATGTGCGGACGACTGCTACCAGAACCAGATATATGATACTGAGCAAGTTCATCATTAACTCGTAAAAGCAGCTTTTCTGAATTTGCTAGCCTCTTGCCAAGATCAGTGTCACCTGACCTCGACAAGCTACTCATTTGCTGTCGATTTCGCGGTTGGATACTTTGTGTCCCAAATAGTTTTTTCACCATCTCATCTAGTTCTGCCACCTTTTTCTGCAAATTGAATTTGTCTACCTACAAACAAGAAAGTAACATTAAACTTGGAAGGATCTTCTTGACAGCACATTTTATGGTTTGATTTACAAAATGCATTACAAGATTACATGCCTAAGAAATTACTTGTACCTTCAACATTTTGTTTTGTTGGGTCAGCAGCTGATCCCGCTCTTCCAGGTGTTCAACGGTCATATGGGCATCAAATATGTCAACTTCTCTTCTATTTACTTCCGAAATGTATCTATACAAACATGATGGTCATGAAGTAAGACGATGTCAGGGCTATAATAAATTGATTTGCAACGTCATGTCATATGACTAGAAAATACCAGGTAATTTTTCGGAATAGAAAGAATGCTACCAGTGTACCCTCACAACAGGAAGAACCTGCCGGTGAGATATGTTTACGCCTAAAAGCTCCTAAACTAATAGAGACCTCTTGTCAATCTAATTCTCTCCACAATCGGAATTTCCACAGCTCTCCACCATTGAGTTTAAGTGATAAACCAGTGAAGTCTGTATACAGAAAAATTCTACAAGTAGTCTTAGATCCCTGCTGTAAGAACTTTACCTGTAATCCAACAAACATGCTATACATAGAACCCAACCACAACTTCAATTTGCTCAAAATGATCCAATTAAATTTAAAACCATGGTTAAGTGACACATAATTCCTCTACATCTACATTAGTAGTTTGAGTTGTGATATCTTGATATGTCATTGTGCAAGGAAAAAAGATACCAACTCCATTTCTGATTTCAAGGACAGTTCGCACAATGGTACAATTAATAGAAAAACCTAATCAATCAGAAGGTAGTGGAAAATAGGAGAACCTGCCTTTTCGCACAATGGTACAATTAATAGAAAAACCTGATCAATCAGAAGGTAGTGGAAAATAGGAGAACTTGCCTTTCTCTCTCTTCCATTAATTCATCAATCTGCCTCTTTAGATTGATAATTTCTTGCTCCTAGTTCAACAGAAAGTATATATATATAAGCCTCAAAGCTGAACAAAAAGTTTTAGGTTAAACCAAACATTTGTTGAATGTACCATTGCTGTGGACTCTTGCATTTGTTGCTGAGCGCCTTCCACAGCCTTTTGAAGCTGATAATGATCTATCAAATTCTAGATCATGCCAAAGAATTATGCCCACAACCAACAAAAGCAGTTCAGAACAAATATTTTTGTAAAATTTGAATCTGCACTTACTGCATAGTTAGTCATGTCCAGTTTGACACCAAGTAAATCTCGAATGACATCGTGTGTCATGTTTTCTGTCGCAACCAGTCTAGCATTCAACATACATACCTTATGCAACATGGATTGCATCAGTCCATTGAATGAGAGAGAGTAAAACCAGAAGCAACAAAACTTATTTTCAAAATGAAGACAAACATTTGACAAGGATAAGAATGAATATAACTTATGTTTCCAACTAAAACTGAAAATCTTAAAGGGGGAATTCATGGAACTAAATCTGGATTTTGGGAATTTGACTATTGGTGTAAAAGTTTAACGCAGGCAAAACTTAAAGAAAAAAACTAATCATAGTCACAAAGCTGAATACATATACTAATCAAAACCAGGCTTCCACACTTCTCCGGAAAAGACAACTGTGAGACATAAGTTGTTTACCTCTTTCTGCCGACTAGCCGCCAATGACTCTAGTTCTTCGAGGTGAAGCCGGGCTGTTAACAATTCCTGATCCTTCTCCAAGTTCGCCAGCTGAACCAAACTTGCAATGCATCTGAATGGTGAGCTAGAACCCCTTGTCTTCATTGAGCTTCTCTCTGTTTTATCTACCTTTGGTTCTGTAGATGTTAACTTGGATGAATCTGTTTTAACATCGCAAACCATTGCCTCCAAGGTCTTGTACTGTTGATGTAAGATTGAATTAGGTCTAGTTACACAAGCTTATGCTAATATCTAAACTGCCAGTGATTTAATGAAATTACTAAATAGGCCTCGAAAATGGCACTAATCAAGAAGCTCATAAATAATGGAAACGGTTTAGCTTCCTCTTTATTTTCGGCCTTTTTTGGTGTTGATGTAACAATTATGGGTTCATGCTGACAATGAGTTAGAAGAAAATAAGCTGTCTGATTTCTTACCTGTTAGTGAAACTCAATTCAGAACCTCGCATGATGAGTATTAGGAGTCAGTTTAACAAATTCGTACAATTTAGAACATATATGACTATGCCTTCCCAAGTACTACCTCAAGGGCATGAATTGGCATATGTGATTTAGCTATATGGCGTCATTACTATGCGCCAATCATTCCAAAAGGCTTTTACACTGAATTTGTAGACAGAAACTCAGCCTTCTTTTCTGATGCATACCTTCTCTTGATACTGTGATGCCTGTGCTTCAGCATGCAAGACAAGTTCACGAACGTAATCTTTGTATTGTTTGATCTGCAAGATATACCCACTTTTGCATTAGAACAACAGAAACAGCATGCAATAAATGTGTGTAACAGTAAAAGATTTTTTTCTGTGAGGAATAAAGTCGACTAGCAAATCATGGCTGCACCTCTTTAGCTTGTTCTGCTCTTTCCTCCAGAAGAACTCTAATCCGATTGTGTGCCTCATGAAGTAAAACGGACAAATTTTGTGGTGTCCTGAAATACAGTATTTACATCAATTGCAAATTATATTGAAAGCAGAACCGAAAAAGAGAGAAAGAGCACTTTCTGACCTTGTCAGTTGGTTTTCAGCTAATTGTTCTGCATTTGAGTGTACAGAATCCATATTTTCAGTGAAATTTTCAACTGCCAGCAATCTCTGTCTCAGTGCTTGGAGTTCCTGTTCTAATGAATCCCTTATTAATTGATGTCTTTCGACGTCTTCTTCCATTTCATTCACCTAAGAAAGGAAATATGCAATTCAAATAACTAAAATACCCAAAGAAAAACCAAATAAATAAATAATATAATAAATTTTGCAGTAAAAACAGACCAGGAGTCGGTGGTCATGAAATCCATAAGAACATACGTAAGTTATACAGCACACTTCTCATACGGATGCACGACGGAACGACGAAATGAACGTTGTTCTACTCTTTACTCTCCCATGAGTGGATTGTAAAATTTTATGAGAAGAAATATTTGAGAAACAAACCTTTTTCTCCAGCACATTTATGGTACAATCAAGCTCCTCAACAGATCTTTCTAAAATCTTAACCTCCCCTTCCTTTTGCTCAGCAAATATTTTACTTGCCTCTGACTCCTAGAAAAATTATTTCAAGTTTATGAGAATGAAAAATCAGTTATCTGCAATCACAAAATGTTTTGAATTGTACATGCCTGGCGGGCTTCTATAGCAACAGCTTCATTTTCATTGGCTAATGTGTATGCCATATCAAGCTGTTGTTGCAAGGAGTCAACTAGTCCAAGGAGTTGGTCTCTCTCGCCAGTGACCTTCCTAAAGTCATCCTCAATGTGTTTTGTCGAAGTGATTAATTGTCTCTCTGCTGAAGAAGTCATACGAAGAATTTCTTTTTCTAAACTTCTGACAGCCTCCCTTTGTTCTTCCAATTGCTCTTCAGTTTCTGATTTTTGCACATAAAGATCCTCTAAAAGAATTCTCAACTCATCATTATGATCTGAAAAGATATCTAATGTTGCTTTGGCCTTCTCTAGATCAGAATCTGAGATGAATAGAGCATTTTCGGTCTCAGTCAGACGCCCTGCAAGTGCTCTATGCTGAATTAGTATATCATCAAGCTGACTTGTTTTCATCCGTAGCTCCTGCCGAACTTCGCTTAAAGTTGAAATTAACTTATCTATTTCGTCTTTGTTGTCCTTTGTGCTGGAGGCTGATTCTTGCAATAAGCTAAAATCGAAAAGCAAACCTTTCAATAAAACTTCTTTGCGTTCCAATTCTTTCTTGAGATTCAAATTTTCATTAAGGTGACTGTCATGAGCTAGGCCCAACTCTCCCACATCCAATCCTGTGACCACTGCTGTCTGATTCACATCCTCTGTACTCTTCACAGCATTGACCATGGTGTCATCTTCAGCAACCAAGTATCTCTTTCTCAAATTATTACTAATTTTATAGCCTTCTTTGAGTCTGGAATCTATGCTTAGGCATCTGAATTTTTGAAAGAGTTTATCAACAAGGCACTGTTGTAGCACCAAAGAAGTGATTCCATTCTCCATTGTCTTAGAGCATATATCTTCTAGTGATAATCTTGAGTTTCCAGTACAGTGCAGCATCTCCTGTACAATTGCCAAGGCATCAGAAAATACCACCTCACACATTTCCTCCACATCTCTTTGCATGTGCAGAAAAGACTCTTCCAGCAAAGACATGGCCTTTGCTATTTCTTCCAAGCTGTGACGAGTTTGATTCTGCAGTATTTCAGTTTCTCTCTCTCTCAAAAGAATCAAGGAATTAAGTTGTTTGATTTCTTCAATCAAGCTTGCTTTCTCCTCCTCTAATTCCTGACTTCCTTTTTTCCACAAACAAGTTAACTGTTTAGCATTTTGATTTGCTTTCAGCAGCGCATTTAACATATAATCAGCTTCTTTCATTGTGGCACATGTCTCCTCTAATTTGGAGAAGAAGCTGCTAGCATGATTAATTTTCCCATCAGCAATTAACTGTAAATTACAGAATGTTGCAGAGAAAAAGAGTGAGTGGTATATCTCCTGTCATAATAAAAACCTCAATATATATTTCAAGGTTAGAGTGACATCTACAACTGAAAAACTCAGAGCAATTATTAACTTGGCAAGAATCTAGATGCGGAAGTTTAAGGTGAATTATTACCTGTCTCTTAGAATGGCAGCTTGCTTCAGCTTCCTTCCTCTGCAACTTAGAAGGTCGAATAATTTGACTCACCTCTCGTGCTACAAGTTGATCAAATCCATTGTGAGGTACAGAGTGCTCAATACCACTCACAAATGCTAGTGAACCAGGAAAATATGTTCCCGTATCAGAGCATTTTTCGAATTCTTTTCCACTGAAAACTGCAGCCAACTGAACATTTAATGTGATGAAAGCATCATATATCATCTTAAATTCCTCCCTCAACCACAATGGTGCTGTCTGATTGTGACTCAAATTTTTTACCAGCCTTACCGACTGTTCTGATTCTTGATTATCAGAAGAAAAAGTTGACCCTCCTTCAAACTCTTGGTCCAAAGTTTGTTCAGTAATTTTCCCAGGGCATCCATAGCAGCAACTAAATGAAGATTTATCCGAGCTGTTTTCTGGAGCAATGCTTACAGCTGAAAGGTTAGAAGTCGAACAATCAGCACTCCACCCATCTATTTCTACTAAATTTTCTGCTCTAACTGGGCAACCATACATATCTATTGTTGTGTTAATCCAGGCTCTTATGAAGTTCAACCTATCATTTGTTTCAGCAAGTTCATATCTGATCTGGTGCAGCTGGTTTTCATGTTTTGGAAACCTAGCAATTCCTGATGATGGAATAAGAAGTGGAGGAATATTAACACCTCTATGATTCGCCTTGAACTCCACAAAATTATTTCTCATCTCACGAATGTCATGCACAAAGTCTTGAACCATTTCCTTGTATAAAGAAACTGCTTTCTGGATGTCAGATTGGAGGACAGATAAATACATTTGTGCATCAGCACAAGATGCATTAATAGCATTTCCAATCTCCAACAGTCCCAGCCTTGCCAACTCAATTTGAATGTCAATATCTTCCAATGCCAAAGCATTTCCATCAGCATTCATCTCAGGAGCCTTGTGGCTTCCATTTAGAGACGAAATAACCAGTTTTGAACTGAGTGCATCTCCTACAACAATGTCCCTGGGAACAATCATTGGGCGATCACATAACCATTTCACCACTAAGAAAGCAGCATTAGCATGTTTTTCTGCTTCAGTTAACTGATACTCCTTGCACATGAGTTTATGATGCAAGAAGTCTACCGAACCTATCTTTTCTTTCAACAGTGTAGTTAGCTCAATTGCCTCTGTCGTGCTTGCATAATTTTCTAGTTGCTGAACTTCAGTAAAAGCAATTGTTGCACCCTTCAAGGAGTTTAATTTCTGCTCCATTTGCAAAACTGTGTTTTGTGCATCTTCCAGGCTCTTCTGCAATAGTAGAATTGTTCTTTCCTTCTCAACACATACTTTAGCTGCCTTCTCAACACTCTCGCTAATCCAATCATTGATGTCAGGAAATGAAGCTGCAATACTTTCTATATGGCAAGAGGCATCGCAAAGGGATTTAGAACCATCTACAAGGAAGCTTGTTAGCTCCAAAATTGCCCTTTCCCACTCCAAACACAATACCCTTATCTCATCCTCTTTAGTTGCTACAGTGTTTCTCAGTTGAATATTTTCTTCAGCCATGGAATATAATTTCTCCTTAAGTTCGGATTGAAGATTAGCAACCTCTTCCTGTAAATGAAGGATTGTTTTAGTTGTTTCCATCTCAACCTCGTCAGTGATCATTCCAATTTGGTGATCCCGAGATAATCGTGATGCATGATCCTCTAGAAATTGGCTATTAAGAAATCGTGCCTCCTCAAGGTCCCTAGTCATCCTGTCCAACTTGGCTTGCAATACCATTGTAAAGATATCTTTGCTGCCCTTTGTCACCAAATTCAAGTTTTGATTTTCAAAACCACCTGTTTCTGCACACTGGTTCTCAAGTTCAAGCATGGATTCTCTCTTTAGTTTTTCCTCATTGCTCAAAATTTCCATTAATCTATGATTCTCCTCCCGCATAAGTTGCAGCTCTTCAATTAGGTGAACTTTCTCTGATTCCATCGCTTCTATCAAGGATCTTGCATCCATCAGCTCTTTCTGAGTGACACTATGATGCAAAAAGGCATTCCCCAGCTTCTGGTCATTTTCCTTCTGTAGAATATCATCCTCTGGTTCGTTATAAGATGTCATCATATCTGCGGATTCACTCCTGAGTGATAAGGTTTCAACCTGTAAAAGAAGCTATAAATCAAAACAAATCATACAAAAATTGAAAAAAGAAAATCAATTGACCTGTAGGATCAATGTCACTTTTCCCACTTGCGACTCAATTTTGCAGATCCACAGGAAATTGATCTTTTTCTCTCGGAACCAATTTATTGGCAGGTTAATGAAATTTTCATTACAATTTATTACCAGCCTGTGTATGTGATACATATAGAGATCTAGACCCAGTTACATATGGAGGGACAATTCTCGGCAAGAATTTTAAGTCACGTAATGGTGATCTGTCATTGACTAAATGGCTCGTTAAAGTAGGTATTGGATTGGTAGTTTCGTTTTTCTGATTAGTAGGGGGTCGTGGAAGCCAAAGACTGGAGCTTCATTACATGTTGATGAGGACTTCCATCAGTTCCGTGGAAACCAACATAGGACAGAAATTAAACTATTATGCAACAGACAAATTTTCAAGTGGTGTATACGCTGTACTTACCGAGTCAAATGCAGCTTGGTTATAGTTCTTATATTTTCTCAGTTCTCTTTGTAATTCTGCAACTTCCCTGCAGACAAAAATTATACATAAGATAACTGGAAAAGAAGTGACTTAATAATCTACCACCGCAATGAGTAAAAATCTTGTTGCTTCAATTCAAACTCAACATATACAACCAAAAGTGGTATCATTAAGAGAATGAGTTTATACTTGCTCATTTTAGAGGTGACATATTGAAAACAAGAAATATATGGAAGCATTTCTCAATGGTTGGGCCACCGCTAGAACTTTCCACACTGTGCCCACTGGAATGATGGCTTGGATTTATTATTAAGATTAAAAAGACACTGACAAAAGCAGTCTATCACATACCAAGTTTACTGCATATTTGATCGAATTCATGCATGTACAGAAAGCTGCGAAGGCAACAGTAGTGCGTTGAAAGAGACATGAAGCTCCCCCACAGCCAAATGGGAAACTTTTGTCGGGCACTTGCACGCGCACACTCAAGCCTGTAATAAATATGATTTGGAAGTATTTACCTGTTCAGTTTGGAATTCATGTTTCCGCATTCTTCTAATTCCTCCATGGCATCATTATCCTGCAATTATGGAATTTTACTGGCAAAAAGTGGCAATCACTTGAAACCTAATGATCATTTCAATATTCACCAGACATTGCATTGCAAACCTGTTTTTCTGTTCTTGAACAGATATTATGCTGCCCATAGTTTCCTTCAGCTGTAAGTGATTCCATAAGCTTCACATAAAACATACTCCAGTATGTCATCATGGGTTGGATCTACTTGTCTTGGTGTCATAACAATGAAGAAGAATAAGAATTAGTATGATCCCACAAACCTGATCACGTAATTCTGAAACTTCTGCTAGCAGTGTTTCTCTCTCTCCTTGTTGGTAGAAATCTTGAAAACTGACAGCAACAGAAATAAGGGCCTTTATAAAAGGATAGATAACACCCAATTAAAGCAACAGAGTTTATGCAAATTACAATCTGAGCTGCTCAAGAAGTCTAATATTCTCTAATGCAAATTGAGTCAATTCTGGATTTTTATCAATCCGTGCTTGAAGCAGCTGAATTTCTTCTCTTAGAGTATTGTTCTCTTCAATGAGATATTTGTCAGCATAGACTACACCATCTGCAAGCATTTCCAAGCGTTTAACTTTTTCCTCACGAAACCTTAGCAGCATTTTAGTATGCTGAGCATCTTCTTCCCTTTGGTGAGCCTGCAATAATCTCCACAGATACAACTTAAGCACATGATACCACTGCCGTACTAATATAAAGCAGTTTATAGACTTAACAAAAAATTACAATATTATTAACATCAAATCAACAAAAAAAATAGAACATGGAGTTTGTTGTTGTAAGCAGACATACTAAATGGATCATTTGTTCATTTTCTGCTTCTAATCTTTTGATTTCAGCATCAGCCAATTTTTCTCTCCTCATGGCACCAACTAAAATGGCTTCCAAGTGTTTCATCTGCCATTGAAAACTTAACAAGCTTCATGATATAACTGTCAGGACTTGAGCATAAGCTTTCAATTTGGATTGAAGATTACCTTCCTGTTTTGTCCACTTGGTTTGTTATGATCTTCATACACATTTCTTTTGCCAAATGAGTTAAATCTCTCAGGAAACTCAACCAAGCTAGATTGTTCAAGATTTGGCACACAAAGTGAAAGTGGTCTTGAAATGCTATGATGTTGCATCAGAAAAGATAATTGACCCTGTTTGAATTAGACAATTGCCTCAACAATCCAAGCTTGCCTTTTTCCAACATGATACATGCTCAAATATGCAACCAATCCAATACCTTCAGTAGTTGGATCTGGTGCTGCAGTGTTGTTACATCACCTGAAGCATCTTCATTCACTTTAGCCTAGAAACATAAAAGGAATCGAAAAGTAAAGCTTCTCAAATGGTTTCTAGTTTTCACCGCAACATAATTATATGAGTTCAAAGTAGGTACATTGTTCTGAATGAGTTTGGCTCTCTGAGCAAATTTCAAAGTGCTTAATGTCTCATTTGCAGAGCTGCACAGAAACAATATATGCCTTCATGAAAAGAAAAAAAAACAACGAAATATCTTTATTCAAAAATCACATAAAGAAACCTATATCAACGAACCACATAGATGGGCTGACATTTGCAATAATAGTAGTTTTTGAGTTCCCACCCAGAGAATCCTACATCCAAAAGGGAAAACAAAAAAAAAACCCTGCAATTTTAGGGACACTCAACAATTGAATAAGACTACATGATGTTGATTGATGACAAGTCATCAGGTATTTCATGGTTTTATTTTTCTGACCTGAAGCAGAAACGTAAGCCTAGAGTCCCTGTAGGGTACATGTCTATGTTTCCCATGAGCTAAATCCACCAGAGACATTATCACCAAACTACAGGCACAAAATAACCAAAAAAACCAATGAAAGAGGTTAAAAAATCCAAAACCCTAATTTATATCATCAAGTGTCTCCAGACTCTATCCCACTTGTAATGACACAACTCAGTATCTCATAGCGGCCCTACTGCCCTTATATTCAAGTCCTTTGAAAATAGAACTGAATGTTAGCTGCCATTGCATTGTGCAGTCAAAAAAGGCTTGGGCATATAACCAATAAATCATAAGGTTAAAGGTTCAAATAGGACGGAATCCACTCCAGGAAAAAAATGCTAAAGTTCAGGTCTATCAAGGGCAATGATATCTGTAATAGTGTCTGGTTTGCTAGGATCATCAAGGAGACGCCCTTCAAGGGCACTTCTATAACTTACTAAAACAAATACAATAAGAAAGAAATATAGAAAGAAAAAATAGAAAAAAATAGGATCATTGTTGGATCGTCTCATCTTCAGAAAGGGACAAAACAGTAAAAGACCTATCTTATGAACTGCCTCAACATGGCAGAGTCATGTTGAAAATTTTACATGCATTGGGTCCAGGATGAAGAAAAATGTGAGAGAAAGAAAATGCATTTAGTATTATAATGTAAAGCAATCATTACAGTAATCCTTGAGACAACCCATGTGAAAAGAAGGTATGGATATTTGTTACCCAAGAGTTGATAGGGATTTATTTATATTCGCTGCTTCTTTCAAACGGTCACCTTCTGCCCCAGAGCTCTTCTGCCTAATGAAATCAACATATGTTATTTCAGTGTCGAAGCATCATGACTTGGGATAATTGATAGTTGAAACCAACATTCACCTTTCAGAACCAGCTAGGTCTACCAAATTTAACCTCCCAAACCTAAGGTGTGTCATGGAATCATTTTCCCAATGGCTTTCAATGATGCATGTGAAAACACTGTGGGATCGGCTGCTCTCACTGTTCATATGAGTTGCCGCCATTTTCCTATTTGCAGCGCCCTTTTTAAGATGAATACATTCATGTCAAATTCATGTATCATATGTGACGGTAAAATTCAAAGTTATACTATTGGACCTCACCTGTATCAAAAGTCTGAGAACATCATTAACAGTTCTGACATTATATTCTGTAAGATTTTCAACATACACTCCTTTCTTCAAGTCTTCTCTGAGCTATAACATGGAAAAAAAAAATGTTATAACTCCTCATCGATGGGTAACTACACAATAGAACAACCACAAGGAACAAAATAAAACTTTTATTACTTGCAAATTAGTTGATGAAGGTTCCAAAAGGTCAGTTATCTGCTCATTATAGATCTCCAGAAAAGAACACTTGCAGCTGTATTTTAGTCTCTCGCTCCTCCTATTCTCCTCTTCCTATACAAATTATTTCGAGAGAAAAGATATGCCAACATTGAAAGAGCACATGTAAACGTCTCGTCATTAAAGTCACTAGAAGCACATATTTCTTACCTCTGCAATCCGTGTGAACAAATATTCAAAAATACGTGGAGTTACCCCACAATGATCATTAAGCTTGCCATCCATCTCATCTATCTCACCCATCATGGTAAAAGTTTTCCCACTACCCGTCTGAAAGCAAACATTTAAGAGCTTAAAATCATTAACATGACACATTTTACCCATATATTGTCACCAAAACCTCAAATAACCATACCTGACCATAAGCAAACATGCAGCTATTGTACCCAGACATGCAATTATCCACCATGGGCAATCCAGCAACCCTGAAGAGCTTTTCCTTTACAAAACTCAATGCAACAAATCTGATAAGAAACTATACAATCCAAAAGTTGGGGTACAATGTGTATATATGATACGTACAGTGGTACAAGTGCAAAAGAAAACAAGTGGTGTATATCTTAAAGAGGTATTTTGCATAGCTAATGCCTAATAATTAAAGTGGCACCTGTGATATAGTTTCGGAGGCTATATGATCAAATGTAAATCTGCTTTCAGGATGGCCAAGCCACAGCAAGGTCTGCGCACTCTCTTGTCTTAGGCATCGACCATACCCCTGTGATACCTTCTCCGTGTTACTCAATGGCCTAATACGTATCAAAACCTACACAGACAACAATTATCATATAATTTTAAGAAAAAAGCGATAAAAGCTAAAGAAAAATATAAACAATTGTGAAGTGAACAGCAAAAAAAAAAAAAAAGACCTGCACATTGTGATCTTTCCAAAACAAAGGAACTTCCACGAGCTCGAAATGTGGAACTACGATTGATTGCTCATAATTCATTATGGAAATGCCTTTAGAACCCCTAGAAGATGAGCCACCTCCTTTTCCTCCAGTGTACTGAGGCGGCGGCCTAGATCCAGTAAACACCCCCAATGGTCCAACAATTGAAGGCCTCGGAAGGATGCTCGCCGGAGTACTTTGGGCTGAGCTGGGTTCAGAATGAGATTTTCCTTTACCAGAAACCCTAGGAGTCGCACGATTGGGTCCCACATTCCCAACTCCCTTGCTCAATGTGATCTGATTATCTGAACCTTCAATTTTTTTCTCAGTAGATCTTAGGGCTCGGTAGCTTCGAGTTTATCCAATAAATCGAAATTAAGCTCCTGATTGTCTCTGTGGTATTGAGATGGATCTGGAATCGTGTTAAGAGGTGTTCTCGGAGGAGGAAAATGAACTGAATTTAAGAAATTTTCAAACTCATTCTCGTTTGCTTCGTATTGTGCGCTCTTCAGATTGAGATTGTTTCGGGAGATGAATGGAAGGGATGAATCGTCTTTCGACATGGAAATGGAGCTCAAGTTCTAATCTCAGGATTAGAGATGCGTAATTGTACAATGGGACAGATGTATGAAATAGGTTTTGATGGAATTACCGTTTGGGGTTGGGGATTCTAATTGAATGGCTGAAGATGATCATGCTAATGATTGTGTGTTGCCATGAAAAAAATGAGTTCGAGATTTTCGAGGAATGAAGACGGGAGAGGAGACTGAAACAAACTCAGCTGGACGGAAAGCTGAAACACAGTGACAGAATGGTGGACTGGAGCATAAGGCCGCTCCTTTTCAATTTGAACTGCTAGTACATCATAATAGCCGATATGTCGGGATGGCCCTCGTGTCTTTTTAATATTAAAATGAACCCTAAAGCTTTTCATGCTAAAAAGCACGGATATTTTGTTGAACCGTATTCGATATCATATCAGATACGATATTTATCGAATATTCGAAAATATAGATCAGATACATCTTTTATGTATCTAAGAATAATTAAATATTATGATACCTCACAAATATATTTGTGGTCGAGTAACATATATAATTTTTGAGTTAAATTTTTAATATATCTTTTCGAATTCACATATCATACAATACATTAACAAAAAATTTATATTACTCCAAAGGCACATGAGTGTTTCTCAAATATTATCTATAATTACATGTCAACAGAGCATAAAATAAAATTATTACATTATTATCTTAACAAAAATTACTTCTAAAAACTAGGTAAATGTTAGTTTTAATTCTTCAATTAGTCATTTTACTTTGTGAATATACTACAACGATACGATATATATTTTTTTGAAACTAAAAAAAATTACTAATTTTTCTTATTGTATATTAAAGAACTACCACAATATATAAGTATTAAGCTGGTTAAAAATAATAAAAATATTAAATATATTTTATTATAGTCGTATGTTGTCCGTACTCGTATTCTATTTTTTTAGACATTGTCGTATCGCCGTATCTCGTATTCATATTTGTGATTCATAGTTTTCTTGTCTTTTTAATGTTATTGTAATCTAATTTGTTAACCTAATGTATTATAATTATTGAATTGCTAACAAATTTCAACTAATAATAGAGTTTACTCTCAATCCAATAGTTAAGAGTGATTAAATCATTAAATAATATCAACAAATTAAGTTTAAATAATATTGCTAAAAAATTTAACCCTCTCTTTTGTTTTACCAACGACATATTTTCTTGTTCTCAATAAGTAAATTTCATCCATATTACCAAATATGTAATACCTGATAACTAATTAATGTCACATTATTCTCTAAAAAATAAAAAAATAAAAAAAACATAGCAGGTCCAGAAACAATGGTATGGGAATACTTATTTGAGAATCTAATTAGTAACCTAATTTAATAGGTCATTAAATTTATTTTGAATACTTATTTGAGAATCTAATTAGTAACCTAATTTAATAGGTCATTAAATTTATTTTGAGTTTCAATATTAGATGTAACTTACATTTAATCCAATATTAATAACTTTAGTTGATTATAAGTTTTCAGATTTGGTCCAAAAAAACATTTTCCAAAAGGTCTATTTATGTCATTAAGAATGTCCAAGTTGAAAAAATATTCTAACAAAATTTAATGTTTTATTTCTCAAGGTTCAAAAGCATTCTGAATGACCACCGAGTAGGTGGTCTAGTAGGATAACAATTTTATTTCTCACCTTAATATTGAGACTTCGAGTCTTAAAGTCTCCATTGGGATTTGGTAGTTGACGACTATACTAGCCTAATTAGGTCTGGTTCCGGTAGTGTTTTAAGTGCGGTCAGGGGTCATATGATACCACCGGTAAAGTCCTGTCGAAGTGGTCGTTGGGCGCTCTTGCTTGGCCCACTTTTTTTTTCACAAGCAAAAAAAAAAAAAAAAAGGCATTATGAATGTGGTACTAAAGTTTTGGTTTCTTTCATTAATCTAGTAAGACAATAAGTCTTCTCGTGAGAATACTGTATTCTTCTGGGTCATCATGGCATAGTTTAGTTTATAGAATGTTTAAAATGTTATTCTTCATGCAAATCCTAGTGTGAAAATACCCAATTAAGTATGCTATAAGTAAAATCTTTATTTGTAAAAGATCCAAATATGCCATAATTTTATTTTATTTTTTCTCCATTCGTGTTATGGTACGAGGCAGAAGATAAACAAGTAAATAAAACCCTGCTGTACACATGAGTTGCACAAAATACCATCATAAGCAAGCAGCGCTACTTTCTTTAGCATAGCTCCACTAAAATATTAGTGGGGTGGCTGTGTCTCTGCTTTTCAACTTCTTAAGATTACCTTTCTTGACCTTGGTTGCCCATTAGAATTGGTTCATCTCTTTTTAAATCGTCCAGGCCCCATTGACGGAGTGTTTGAATTTAATTCCCACCATCTTTTTGGATCCTCGATCAACTTTAAAAAGCAACTAATTAATAATACAACCAAATGCTCTCATATGTATATATACCAGCTGCTTTAATCTTAACCTCCCCTTCGTTTGGCTACAGTACTACTCTCTACTGTGAGATAGAGCTGAAGTCAAAGGTGGAATTATGGAATGGAATGCATGCAAGCACAATTAGATATATTACCTGTCTGATCATAAGTTAATTTCATCACTGAGGCTAAAAATGGGTGCTCTCTGCTCTGTACTTTGGGTTTTTGCTCCAGGACCAGGACTTTGCCTAAAGCATACATACAGACTCAACAAGATTTTAGTTCCAAGCCAAACGAATCGAATACATCAATAAGTTATCTCGTAAGTTCCCCACCAGACACAACATTTCTATTAACAGAAGAGAATAGGGGCATATATACATTACACTACTGCATGGCAGGCAGTTCCATAACTTTATATATAACTACTTGAAATTAGTCAGCTTCACACACATGCAGCTGGCCCGTTTCTTGTTTATATATATATATATATATATATATATATTAAAAGGTACTTGCTAGCAAATTAATATATATATTCTGCATATATAGCATATGATCACAAAGTGGTGAAGCGCAGGTAATCCTTGTTGGATGGAAGATGAACAGTCTTAAATCCCTGTGGGAACATCTCTTTGGCTTGCTCATTAGAAACACTTGGAGATATGACCACTGGATCCCCAGGCTTCCAGTTGGCAGGAGTCGCAACCTTGTACTTGGCAGCCATCTGCAGGGATTCCAACACCCTCACCACTTCGTCCATGTTACGCCCAGTGCTCGCAGGGTACAGGAAGCTCAGCTTAATCTACACTTGAAAACCAGTAGAGTAGATCATCCATCAAAATATGCAGAAGAAATAAATTAAAGAAAGAAATTAAAACCCACCCACCCGCTTGTCCGGGCCAACAATATGCAGAGCCCGGGATGGGACAGTGTTTCCTTGGGAGTCTTTCTCATCAGGGTCCACCATGTTGAGCTGATGGATAATCTCTCTCTTTGGATCAGCGATGATCGGGTATGTCACCTTATGTCCAGACTGCAGTTGCAACCACAACCAAATGCATCCGTATTTTATATCAGCATGCAGAAACAATCATATATATCTATATCCTTTCAAATCAGAGAGCTGAAGAAACGAATCAAACAAGTTACAAAAAAAAAAAAAAAACTAAACTGAACTTACATAAGCTTCAATGTCCTTGATCCATTGATAGTGAGATTGAATATCATCACAAGACAGTCCCAAGAGCTTGGTCCCTCGCTGAGCAAACTCGTCAGCATAGGCCGCTATCGTACCCAGTTCAGTTGTGCAAACGGGCGTGAAATCACCTTCTTGTGTTTATATATAAAAATGAACAAAAAACAAAATCCCTTAATTTTGCACAAAATTAAAATAAATAGGGCAAACACGTGCGGCACCTGGATGAGAGAAGACTATAGTGTAGCTATCAACAACATAGTCATGGAGCTTGAACCATCCATGTTTCAACCTCAAGGTTGGGGATAGTGTCTCCAAGGGTCAGCCCTGGCATTTTCTAGTGTAGTGATCAAGGAGCAGCAGCTTCTATTATATATTGTGTTTTCTTTCTATATTTTCTGTCTTGCGGCTTTAGCAGTAAATATATATATTAAGGGATTTGAACAATAGAAAAGTAATGTTATGTTGATTAAATAACGTATCACCGAATAAAGAAGCGAATTTGGCTCAAAACGGAAAGGGTTGGTGGCTGATTTAGCGCATGCATGAAGAGAACGTGGCATATGTCTTGGCCTCGTGGCATCCTGCTGCCACTTGATGAGTAACCTGACTGTTGCCTGTTGCGTAGGTCTTCCATCTTCCGACACGCATGACGGCCTTAACACCTGTCCCTTTGGAGGAGAAAATATTCATTAATTATAACGTTTTACCAAATACATTGCACATTTAATCCTCTCCTCAAAAATGAATGCTCACACATTTAATTATTACTGTCATATGTTTTGACACCACCCGACCCGATATAGTATTTAGTGTCGTGTTGTGTCCAAATCGAACTTTATAATTTATGACTAAAATATTGAAAATCAAAATTATTAAACTAGGGTTATAATTATTATAAATAAATAATAAATTTATTGGGACCACAAAATATCACGTTCATTAATCCTGTAGATTATATGACAGGTCAACCCTAAGAAATTAATTCATTATTTTAAGTAGTAATTAGTAACTTATTATCTCATTAGTGAAGATCCATCTCTATGTGCTCTCTTTTATTTTCACCAATTTTATTTGACCATAAAAAAATTATTAACTTATTAGTATGTGAGATTCACAATAATATTTCAATATAAATGGAGTTTATTATTAATTCAATTATAATGCAATAAGTTACAAAACTTATCAAATGCATATATGGTAAAATTAAAAAAAGAAAAAATTAGAAACCAGATGCCTGTTTGATTTCCATCTCAAAAATCAGTATCCGAAAATAATTTTTAAGAATAATTTTAATAAAGTGTTTTTGAAAATTTTTAAATTCCAAAACCTGTTTGGTTATATATTTTTGAAAATAGCTTTAAAGAACAAAAAATTGTAAATCTGTTTGGACAATAATCTACAAAATCCACAATTACCATCTCTATCTTTCTTTCCCCTCTCTTTGTCTTCACAAAATCCACAGACACACGCACACATACACGCGCGCGCGTATTTACATATAGATCTACTCAGATCTATGCTTTAAATCTATGTAGATTTGAAGTTTAATTGTTGCAAGAGAAAAAGAGGAGATGGAGGCGATGGGTTTGACAGCGATCTTCAGTGCTACTAAGGGGACAGTGATCTTCAATGGAGAAGAAGATGTAGACACTAGAGAGAGAGAGGAAGGGAAAAAAAAAAAGAAGGAAGCTTTTTGCTGCTAAGGGATTCAAATGTCAGATCTCATTAAAGACTCATTTTTGTTTTCCGTGTTTCCAACGTTTTCAAAGAAAACTCAGAAAACAAGTGTAGATTGTTTTCTATTTTTTTGCTCCAATTTTTTTTTTTTCCAAAACTTAGAGAACAAAAGTGCTAAGCAAACAGATTTTGAATGTTTTTAAAATTTTGAAAACAAAAAATAATTTTTGAAAACTAAACCAAACACGTCCCAGAATATTCATTAACAAATCCAGGCAACACATATATACAATAAGTTAATAGAGAATTAACTTAATTGGTTTGAATATACTTATAGATGTATAATAGACTTATTATAGTATAGATGAAAAAGAGTGCTGTAATTATTTTCAATAAACAAATAATAGAGTAAGATTAAAATTACTTTTAAATGAAAAAAAGAGATACAATATCTTATGTTTCAATACAAAATTATGATTCATAATCGAGCATAACATGCGGCGAAACATGATTTGTTTATCAAAAAAAAAATTAACACAAACCAATCCTAATCTAACACATTTAATTATCCATGCCAAATGTTTTTGATATTAACCAATATATTTATTATCGTGTCATGTTCGAGTTGAACATTATAATTCATGAATAGAAAATTTAAATTTGTTGGACTCGAATTAGGGTTATTAAATAAATAACCTATAAATCTATTAGCACCATATTAATATCATGTTCATTGTTCTTAAATGTTCATCCACCTGCAAGCTCACAACAAACATTTCATTATCTCTCAACTAAAACCACATTATATTCAAACTTTTTTCATAAACTAAAATTTTATTAAATGTACACAATATGAAGAAATCTTCTTATTTTATAAGGATTTAGGATGATACCTAATAAAAAAAAAATAACGAACATCTTATATTTTTTAATTCAATGCTAGTTTTTTTTTTTTTGAACAAATCATACAATGCTAGTTAAACATGTTAATTGTGTCAAATTTTGAATTATATATTTTTGAAATTAATCTAATTTATTTATTATTCATGTTAGCAGGTCTTGTCATTTTTAAATTTATGATGAGAAATAGTCAATTCTAATTCGCCAATTTCATCTTATATTTAAATTGCCTTTTCTATGTGTAGAAAATTATCACTATATACCTCAAATTTCAATTAATTGAGTTAGATCCTACTAAAGCACAATTTTTTTTTTAATTCTTTAGGAATTTGAACTTTAAAAAGTGAGTTTTGTTTTAGATATGAAATTTAAACCTAGAAATCGGAGGAAGAGACAAAATCTAAGAGAACGTTAGAGGGAAAGATTAGGGCAACAACATCTAAATTTGTTTTTACATAACTCATAAACTTTCCACCAGCCGAGCCCATTTGAACTCGTAGCTTGTGGTCAACATAGGTCTACGTGTAAAGTTTTTTCTCCACACACAAGGGTTAAATTAAGGAAAAAAGATCCTAAGAAATATTTTTTATCCTTGTAGGATATCGAATCTTTGATGAATGTCAACTTAAAATATTTATCAAGTGGTAGACCGACACTTAACCAAACCTCTTGGGGGTTAACAACATCGATTACTTGGTTCAACAAAAGAGACACAAAAATTGAGCAAGAATAGAGGCGACGAGCTATGGGATCTGATGGGCCAAACTCAAATTATAAGCTCGGTCTGAATTTATAGTCCATCTCCAAGAGATCTAGCAAGTCCAGTTCAATATGATCAACCTGGAGAAGCTCATCAAAAATCAAGGGGCTACATCAATAGGAAGTATGCAAAGGTCATTCAAGAGCCTCTTCTACCACCTTGGAGTCAGGTCATCCAAGAGTCTCCTCTATCACCTTGGAGTAAGGGTTATCCAAAAGCCTCCTCCTCACTACCTTGAAGTAAGGATCATTTCAAGAGCCTCTCCCTTGCGGTCTGGAGAGAGTTAGCATTCTCTTATCCTTTGTCCAAGTCCTTTGGAGAGCACCATAACTTCCTTGCTGGTTGAGGAGAGGAGAGGTCACCAAACTATTTAATTACTATTAAAGTCACCCCAATCCATTCTGACTATTAAACGGGCCCAACTCGTTATGACCGTCAAACTAACTATTCAATTACTACACTAAGTCATTATAAATTGTAAATCCCACTAACACTTGGGGGCATCAGACTCATTGGAGATAATTCTCTCATCCTCTCTTAAAGCTTGCAACTTTCTACTCTCCCACTACACTGGAGTTAATAAAATATCGGCGACCCTTTGCCATTTAAAGTGGACGTAGGTTCCGTTGACCGAACCACTATAAACGCTGCCTTCTTTCTCCCTATGCTTATCAATTACTGCATATTATACTACTTACTTGATAGGTAGTGTGCAAACCAATTTTATGTATTACCAGTTTGACGCAATCTGTAAGAACGACAATATTCTCACGTAAACACTTTATTTGCTAAATAAAAGGAGATCACCGCCGGGATCCATGAGTCAACCTGAAGATATTTCACCACGAGAGGAAGATGTTGCTCCTCTACCTACCAATTCGGTCCCAAATGCGCAGCAGATACTGAACACAATGCAACAGCTTATCATCTAGAACTAGTTGATTCTGCAATTAATGCTCGGGCAACAAGGAGGAGAGCAGCCTGGACCTCAAGCCAGGGGAGCTCCACTCTCAGGTCATCAAGGAGCTCTCCATCTCGACGTTCCCCATCTAGGCACCCCACACAGGGGGGCCTATCACGAGGGACCTCCTCCTCCTGCTCCTGCTCTTGCTCCCTATGGTAGAGATCCTCATTTTCCAAGAGGATGAAGGTGAAAATCAAAACATGGAGCATGAGAGCCAAGTCCGTGACATTGAAGAGCCTCCTCCTCGTCACATTGAAGTAAGGGTCATTCCAGAAGCCTCTCCTTCGCGGTCTGGAGAGAGTCAACATTCTCTCATCCTTTAATCAAGTCATTTGAAGAACACCATAACTTTCTTGCCGGTTGAGGAGAGGAGAAGATGAGAGGTCGCCAAACTATTTAATTACTATTAAAGTCACCCCAATCCGTTATGACTTTTAAACGGCTTCAGCCCGTTATGACCGTCAGACTAACTATTCAATTACTACACTAAGTCATTATAAATTGTAACTTCCACAAACACTTGGTGGACATCATACTCATTAGAGATAATTGTCTCCTCCTTTCTTAAAGCTTGTAACATTCTGCTCTTCCACTATACCAGAGTTAATAAAATACCAGCGACCTTTGTCAAAGTACATGTAGGTCACGTTGACTGAACCACTATAAACATTATCTTCTCTCTCCTCTACTTATTAATTATTGCATTTTGTATTACTTACTTGATAGATGATGTGCAAACCAATTTTGTGTATCATTAGGATCTTTTCAACTCAAATAAACAAATAGATATAGAGGAGAGAGAGGCTAACGGGTGGTGGGAGATGAATTTTGAGTTTGTTCAATTGGTGTGTAATTGACTATTCGGTAAGTCATTCAAGACTTATTTTGATGGATTTTTTGAGAGGGTTTGAATTGATTTCCTTAATTTTTTTTTAAATCCAAACATCTCTTTACAAATATTGGATTTAAGATTAAATCCGATCCATACCCATGTTTGATATGTAAAATATATATATATATAAGAATCATGTATATATCATAATTATTAACAACTATTTATCTTGTAATGATTATTTTACCATTGATAACTCCAATTCATACCCCCATGTTAAGGGGTACAATTGTCTTTTAAATTTGTAACCCCTTAACCTATTTTTCTATAAGTTTAATAAAACCTATGACCATGAGTTTAATATTTGGGCTAACTCCAGGCTGAACACTAAACATAGAGTTTGGGGTCTTTTGAATTATTTTTTTCAAACCCATCTTGTCAAGCCCCTATACCCCTCTCACCAAGCAGTCCCTTCGCCGCTATAGTTCATGGGCAGCAATTAATAATATCTTTGAATGAGCTCGTGTTATTTCAGAAATGTCAGGGGTTTTTATGTGTTTTAACACAACTTAGAGTGGGTTAGTGTTATTAACGCAAAAGGAAGGGTTCATAATTGATACCTGGACCATCGGCGCAGACAACAACCACTCATGCTGAACCCTAAACATCAAAACTAAGATCGACCCTTCCCATAAAAGAGTTATTCCATTTTCCGCTCTGCCACAGAGCGAGAGAAAAAGGGTTTAGAAACCCCATTTTAGAAGAGTTACAGAGAGGAAGGCAGAGAGAGAAAAGGGCATCAAGCTCCGTCAACCAAGCATACAAATTTAAGCTCGATTTCTTCAATCAGGTATAAATTTTTTTTACGAGCTTTACTTTTTTAAAATTTATTCGCTTGTTTCTTTAAATTTTTTTTATAGGTTTTGTGTATTGATTGTTGTGCTGATGCGTTGAATCCTAGATTCTGAATACATCATGTATCCGATGGTATGTAGGGTTTTATGACCGACTCATTACCTGCTCTTGGCTCTGTTTCTAGGGTTTGCCCTTTTTTTTTTCTTTGTAGTATGTTTGATATCTCACAGGGTCTTAAGAATCGGAATATGGTAATTGGATGGTTTAGCAACTTGGCACGAGTGTCCGTTTTCCAATCATTGCATACTTTGTCATCTACTTCTCTTTCCCCAAAGGATTTGCTTTAATTATTATTTTTATTTTGTTATTTTCTGAACAACGTGATGAGAATGAAAATAAACAGTTTTGAATTCCAGAAATTTCATTATCTCAGTTCTCAAAAACAAATACCCTCGCGATGATGCCATATTTGGAGCATGAAATGCATACCTTTGAATAGCAATTGGAGCAAAACTAGTTTAGAAATAGAAGCAATGAGGACTCCATTTACTAGAAGGCGCAAATTCACACTCCTAAACTTGGTCTGAGTCTCACGTCATGCAATGGAAGCTTTGGAATTGGAACAGAAATTAAAAAAAAAACCTAATTCACAGTTTGAACTAAGTTTCGTCCAATTTCAATTACAGTGTCATCCATCCTGCTAAACTCGGTATTAGGATATTTAATGTCATGGATCTCTGACTTGGAATCAAAAAGCATACTAGCTCAAGATAACAAGTAGTATTACCTGAACACCAATGCTAGGTTGTGAATATTGGATAATGCTAAGTGCAGCATCAATCAACTCCTGCTAATTAACTTGGCCACTTAACAAAGTTTTTAGCAATTTTCCTTTTTTTAGCAGTTCCCCCCCTCCCCCGGGTGCGGTTTCTTAGCAACCAAGGGGGTGACTTCAAATTATATGCTGACACATGGTTATACCACTCCTACTATTATTTGTGTTTTGGTTGAACGAATTCTATGTTGCTGTTTTTGGTGGTTATTGTTTTTCAGCAAACATTCTACAACAATGGTATATTGTTGTTTTGATAGGACACAAAACTCTTGCATTAATAAAAATTGGAGAGTTAATAAAAAAAAGGTCGATTGTAGAATCAGTTCAAACTTCAGGCAAATTCCACTTATTGCTTTAGGCAGCAAATTCCATTTTTATATTTCACATTTGTGGTCTATTTGATTGTAGATAGCTATTAAGAATGGCAACTGCTGAGGCCGCACCAGCTTCCCTTGGTCCCCGTTTTGCACCTGATGATCCCACACTGCCACAACCCTGGAAGGGATTAATTGATGGAAGTAGTGGTGTTTTGTACTACTGGAATCCTGAAACTAACGTCACCCAGTATGAAAAACCTACTGCTTTACCTCCTCCATTGCCACCAGGACCCCCTCCCACGTCTTCTGCTCCTAAGCTGGCTCCAATACCAGGGGATCGAAGAATGCAACCAAATGGTGTTCAAGGCCAGCAGGGGCAGCAAGTGACGCAGACCTCACAACAGCAGGGGCAACAAACAATGCAGTTGTCACAACAGCCTACGCAAATAATACAACATGTTGCTCAGCAGCATAACTCACAAGTAGCTCAATCTGGGGTACAACAGGGAGTGCAAGAGGGACCAGCCATGCAACAGCAGGGGCATCTAACACCACAACAACTTGGTACACACATGACACAACAACTGAGTCAGCATATACCATCACAGTTGACACAAATGCCTTTACAGCCGGGGCAGCAAATTCCTCACCAGGTAATGCAGCAACTACCCCAGCAGATGGGGCAGCAAACACAGCTGTACCAAGGCTCACAAGTGGTACAAACACCGGGCCACCAATTTGCACATCAACAGATGCCGTATATGGCATATCACTCGAGCATGCCTGCACATGCTCAGCAAAGTCCGCAGCAGCAAAATCAGCATATTACTCAGGGGCAACAGGTCCTGCATCAGCAAGAGCGGAAAATGGGATTTCCGCAAGGTGGTGATGTTGATTTTCAACAAGGAAAGCAAAGTGGGGTTTCTCCCTCACAAATTCAACAAACTGGCGTGGCATCTGTTCAAAGCTTGCCTGTTGGAACCACTTCTTTTCAGACGCCACAGATGGGCATTCAGTCTGGTCAAGCTTCACAGTTTGGTAGTTCTGCTGTTAATACGCAACAATACCCACCCTTGTCTCAGTCGCAGCAAAGTGGGATGGATTTCATGCATCAGCAACTTGGCCCCAGGTTTCAAAATCAAATTGGTCCTGGAATGATGCATGGACAGCAGCCGAATTTGCCCCCTGTTGGATTAAAGATGGGTTATGAAGAAAATCCACCTGGTAGAGCTGGTAATGATCATTATGTTAATGCTATCAAGGATGACCCTAATATGGTTCTGCAGCAGCCCAAGCTTGCTGCCATACCCTCTGCAAGAAATCCACATGTAGGTTCTAATTATGTGTTGCTATATGTTCTTAGCCCGTTATTTGCTATTTTTTCTTATTGGGTTAATTAAGATTGATTGTTTGATGACTGATGAACTTTCTCTCCAGCGTTTTGGCATGTTGAATAACTATATTTTTCGTCTATTAATTTTTTCTTTGTCCTCCATAATTTGAATATCTTTGTTCTGCCGGCATGGTGCCAAATTAGATGGTTCCTCACATTGTTGCTGCTTTATATTAGGAAATGAGAATGGGTGGTCTACTTTTTCAGAATTTTCCTGGTGGAATGAATAACGTAACAGGGCCTGCCATGCATAGCACCTATGGTCATCCAACTGGTGGTCAACCATATGCAACTAATACTCTGATGAGGCCTCCGTCAGCATTGATGGGATCCTCTGATGCTATTCATCTCTCACCTGCTGAAGTCTACTGCAAAGAGCATGAAGTAACAGCAACGGTCTGTAGTTTAACTTCTTCTTGTACCATGGGAGTTTGTCAATGGCATAGTGCATGTTGCCTGTATAGATATTGTACAACTCCGATTAGATTGTTGCGGTTTCCTGTAATGCCATTTCCAAATTGGGACTCTCCTAATGTGTTTGTGTTATGCAAGAAAATAATATCATGGGGAGGTTTTTAAGAGAGATTATAAGCATGCTAGGGGGGAGGACTATGAAAAATCTCATTGGATAAAATACCTCATGATTGCTCTTGAAATTTTTTCTAGTTTACTAAAAAATTTTCAAACTGCGTCTTTTATGTGTGAGATAATAATACAAAAAATACTAAACGAAGTCAAGGGTGCCCATGTGACTGTTAAAACCAATTTTGTTGGTGATGATTAATTGTTAGTATCTTTATTTTCATATTGAATTTGTGATAATTCATTTTAGTACCCCATTATTACTGTTGCTATTTTTCAATAAAATGTTTTTTTTTTTTATTTTTGGTTGTTCAAACGAGACAAAAATAGTTTCATATGCATATTATCATCTCGCTGGCTACTTGTTGTAAGTAAAGAAATATGATTTCAGGAGTTTCAAGTTTTTAAATTCAGTATTTTGGTGTTAGTGATTTGCTAAATACTGGATTATCTTTTAGCATGCTAATGTATGGGGCCTTTTCCACATATCTTGGGTCTACATCCCTTTGCGAGGATGCATGGTTAAGTTTCCGTTGTCATACTCGTGACAAAACTAATAGTACATGTAAGGTGATGTGATTTAAAATTAAAATGAAGAAGTTATATAGAGAATGATGTTTTGTTTGTATAGATTTCAAAGATGTCGAAAATAGCAACTTGTAGTGACTATTGAGTCAAGCAGTTGTGTCAGTTTGTGTCTATACTGTTGTTGTCATTAGATCTTTCAGAATGCCCTTTTTCATGAATGGTTTGAAATAATCTTTGATGCAACATACCATTAAATAAATCGATAAATATTATTGGTTAGTTATGCTCTTGTTGAGTTTTGCATTAGATGTGTCTGGATGCATCCTGCCTTTCTTTTGCCATGTAATTTTATAATTTCTTCTTGATCAATTCCTTTTTTCCAGAAGAAAATGAAAGTGTGGGAATTGGAACTCCAAAATTTTTCCTATATCATCTGTCAATAATCTATTTAAGTTGGAGTAATTCTTCACCTGCAGATGATACTGCATACCCATCGCCCCCCCACATTCCCTCTTATACATTTTCCTCACTTGTTTCAGAAACTCCTATATATAACAGAACTATTAGCATGTAAAGGCCTCCATTGCATCATAAGAAGTCCATCATTAGACATTATCTTGGCCATTGTACTTTTTATGTGTTTAGCTAGCAATTAACTTATGTGGCTTATATCCCTGGATTCTGAAGCTTAACATTGCGGTGTTTGATTTTCCAAGAGCTTGTTACAACCTAAGTTCATTCTATGCACTCTTGCATGTATTCTCTTTTGGGCCCAGTTGAATTTGTTATCAATTTGTGATTGTTCGTGACTGATGTCCAAATTCCATTGCCTAGGGTGACAACATTCCAGCTCCATTGATGACATTTGAGGCCACTGGGTTTCCTCCAGAAATATTGAGAGAGGTAAGTGTTATGCCTTGACAGAGACAATTGTGCTAAGGCAACATAGAAGAAATTGGTCAAATTCATTCCATGTTCATGCTTTTTTTCATAATTTTTACTTCAGGCTTATCAATTCTCACTTGTCGCAGATGCGATATCTGCTCCAGAGGAGGAGCAAATGTCGTACGCTGCACTGCTATGCGCATACTAACGCAACACCTATTCTGAGTTTTTGGAGGCTGCAAAATGGACAGTTGGAGCCTTCCTTGGGCATCGTCTAGATGGGTGGTTGGCCCTTCATCCAAATCACACTTGATGTGACTGGGATATCTAGCTTATTGGCTCTGCCTATTCTGTCTTAATTGCTCCCTTTTGTTGCCTCGAGTTGCTTCAGTAAGCAACCGCATACCCATGGGTTTTCTTTTGGCAATATTTTTTCCTTTAACCTTTTTCCAATAATTATTCATTATGTGTATTGTTGGAATGAATTTATTTTTTATGTTCTTAAACTTGCTTGTTAATTTCGTTCTTTATTCATTATCTGTATTGGGGGTTCATAAATATTATTTTGTTTCAGATACATTTTGCTGGTTTTTCTACTCCAACACCAATTCAGGCACAAACATGGCCAATTGCTATTCAAAATCGGGACATAGTGGCTATTGCCAAGACAGGATCTGGCAAAACATTGGGCTATCTGATTCCTGCTTTCATTCTCCTTAGACGATGCCGTAATAATTCTCAAAATGGACCAACAGTGTTGGTTCTAGCTCCCACGCGGGAGCTTGCCACACAAATACAGGATGAGGCCATCAAATTTGGACGATCTTCTAGGATCTCTTGCACGGTGGGTCCTCGATTGTGTTTTCATCTTTCAATCTTGTTGATAAAATCCTTTTGTTCTTTGGACTGTGGTATAATTATGAGACACATTTTTTGTTTCAGTGCTTGTATGGTGGAGCTCCAAAGGGCCCTCAGTTGAAAGAACTGGATCGAGGAGCAGATATTGTTGTGGCAACCCCTGGCCGGCTAAATGACATCCTTGAAATGAAGAAAATTGATTTTGGGCAAGTTTCCCTTCTTGTGCTTGATGAGGCTGATCGAATGCTTGATATGGGCTTTGAGCCACAAATTCGCAAGATTGTCAATGAGATACCTCCACGCAGGCAAACTCTTATGTACACAGCGACCTGGCCCAAAGAAGTGAGAAAAATAGCAAGTGATCTTCTTGTTAATCCTGTTCAGGTGAACATTGGTAGCGTAGACGAGCTTGCTGCAAATAAGTCCATAACACAGGTAAATTCACGTATCCTTGTTGTGCGTTCAAAGTGATGCATCAGATAAGATGCCTTGATTTTAGTTTTCAGGAAGAAAAGTTTTATGAATATCTGAATATTGTACAGATCAAAGCAGAGTTGGGTTAAAAACTGGATTCTGACTTGTGGTTTACATACTTCAGTTATTCTTTAGATACTCCCTTCCCCCCTCCCTCTCCCTCTCAAAAAAATAATCCCAACAAACAAACACTCAAACCAAAGAAAATGTCTCTTTAGCTTAAATAGTTTATGGTGGAATGTTATTGTGAAGGTGCTGCAAATTGTGAATCCCTCACTGAGATGCTAATCTCTCTATATGTTAGATTGTGAAAATTTCTGTGAGCCATTTTTCTTTATGTATTTTAATTTTTTTTCTTTCCAATTAACATAATTAGAATTCTTATGATCTTGCAGTATGTCGAAGTAGTCCCCCAAATGGAGAAGCAGAGGCGCTTAGAGCAGATACTTAGATCCCAAGACCGAGGTTCGAAGGTCATTATATTCTGTTCTACAAAAAAGCTGTGTGAGCAACTGGCACGTGGTGTTGGACGGAACTTTGGGGCTGCTGCAATTCATGGAGACAAGTCTCAGGGGGAGAGGGACTGGGTTCTGAATCAATTCCGGTCTGGAAAGTCCCCAATATTAGTTGCTACTGATGTTGCTGCTCGGGGGCTTGACATAAAAGATATAAGGTGAATAATGTCTTCTTTATTTCCTCTCCGAACAAGTATTGCTGTTTTGATGTGTGTGCACAAAAAGGACTCATTTGTTGTCATATGCCAGGGTGGTGATCAATTATGATTTTCCAACCGGGGTTGAGGATTATGTCCACCGCATTGGCAGGACTGGAAGGGCTGGGGCAACTGGTGTGTCATATACCTTCCTTTCTGATCAGGACTGGAAATATGCAGCTGAACTGGTAAAAGTTCTGGAGGGGGCTAACCAGCATGTACCTCCAGAAGTAAGGGAGATGGCTTTGCGTGGTGGGCCCAGTTTTGGCAAGGATAGGGGTGGGATGAACCGTTTTGATTCTATGGGTGGTGATGTTGGCAGAGGTGGTGGGCGTTGGGATTCTGGTGGACGTGGTAGCATGAGAGACGGTGGTTTTGGTGGCCGTGGTGGAATGAGAGATGGAAACTTTGGTGGCCGTGGTGGAATGAGGGACGGTGGTTTTGGTGGCCGTGGTGGAATGAGGGATGGCAGCTTTGGTGGTCGTGGTGGAATGAGGGATGGTGGTCGTGGTGGTGGGATGAGAGATGGCAATTTTGGTGGCCGTGGTGGCATGAGGGATGTTGGCTTTGGGGGTCCTCCTGGTACTCGTGTTGGTTGGGACAGAAATGAACGTGCCCCTCATGATCGGTACAATAATGTGGAAGGACGTGGACGTGGCAGGGGTCGGGGACGATTTGATAACAGAAGAGATACTGCTGATAGGGGTAGGGGCCCAAATTACAGTTCCAGTCCTGAGAGGGTTAGAACATGGGGTTATAGCCGGAGCCGGAGCCACAGCCTGAGCCGGAGCCGGAGCCGGAGCCGGAGCAGGGGTAGGGGTTATAGCAGGAGTAGAAGTTGGTCCCGCAGTCGTAGCCCGAGTCGCAGCTATAGCCGAAGCCGCAGTCGTAGCCGCAGCTATGAAAGATATGTGAGGCGACCACGTGTATCAAAATTTGATCAGAGGGACGTGACGGTGCCAGAAGCTGAGGTTCCTCTTCCTCCTGAATCGAGGATGTCACCTATGTCTCCAGGCACACAAGGCAATGCATTCTCAGGAGCTGATCCTGTAGCTGTAGGGCAGTTGCCATTGGTTGCAAGTGTTGATGCAGGGGTCCCTGAGAGCGGATCCAATGCAGGGGTGGAACCGTGAAATGAAGATTTGCTGGTGATTTGTATTAGTTGAAGTGGCGTCGTCTGGTGTTCATTTACTTAATTGCTCTTCTCAGTCACCTTATTATGAAGAGAGGTATTATGGTGAGGTGTTTTACAAGTTGAGCTTGGGCCACTGATTAGATAAAACCAATGACAAAATGTGGTTAGACTTCTGTATGAGTAAGCTAAAGAAACAACTTTCTACGATTGTGTTGGTCAGTTTTATGTTGGGGAAATTTGAGGTTATTTTCTTGAGGATGGACAGACAGACGGAAGGAGGGACGGTAGATAAGGAAGGCTCAGAGGCCAGAGAACATTGTTTTTGTCAACAGAGGACCGGCCACCTTATACATTCATCATCTGAGTAAGGGGAAAGAATTCATGGTGACTTAGTTATTATGCCCGGTGGTCAATTCTATTAGCTACGTCGAACTCTAATGCTGTTGTCATTTCTATTTGAAACCTGTCATTGTGCAATTGTGATAGCTTTAATATAAATCCTTTGGAGTTTTTCGTTTTTAATCTTGCAAATAAATGGCAATGCAGCAAGAACGATCAAATAATGATCTTTATAGGGTGCCTTATACTTAAAAATTGACACGCAAGAACATTTGAAATTCTTTTTCCTTTGAGGTGAGGCTTTTTGGTAGCAGGGTGACATTTCAAACATAAAATATTGATGGGGGTGAAAGTGAAACTATATACTTTGAAGGTATTGAAAACTTTTAATGAATGCATACGGTAACAAGAGGATTTTGTGGACATGTGGGAGGGTAATGCAATTGGTGAAGAAAATCAAATGAAATTTTGATTTGAGTATAAAGGAAGGGCCCAAGTAACAATATTAATATTAATATAAATTGATTAGTTATTGTCTGTGCATGAAAGTACGGAATAATAAAAAAAATGGTCAATAATAAATATATTTGTATTTGACGGTGGAGGTGGTGGTGGTGGTAAAGGTGTTGATGGAACGACAACAGTGGTTGTAGGGTGGTGGCAACGGTGGTTGTAGTAGTGGTGTAGTAGGGATGATGGCGGTGGGGGTAGTAGGGATGGTGTTGGGGGTAGAGCGGTTTCTAACACTACTTTTTTTTGGTTTAAAGTAGTTATAAGTTCTAAAAACTCTTTTAAAAAGTCACTCCAAAATACACCCTTAAGAGCTTATTTTTCTTATTAAATTTGAGATGTTAATATTATCCGTCGAATTAATTTTAAAATAAAATTTAAAGAGATCTCAACAGTGAAAAATAAAAAATTAATTTATTTATCTTTTGAAATTTAAATTGAAGTATACTTTAGTATATAGATATGTAATATAATGTAAGGACATAAACATGAAATAATAATAATTGCCATTGGAGTGGAGGGGAAGATATTCTGGTGCCAAAAAGCCTAGTATCGCTACTTTTCTTCCTTTTGCTTCATTCCATACTTGGTTCCAACTTCCCTCTCACTTGCAATTCTTGTTTATCTTTCCCTCTCATTTATATCATAAGTTGAGATAATCTAATAATGTCACCAGTCTCATAACTTGTTGTTTACCTCCTATCCCTTAGCTGCTGATCGTCCCGTCCCACAAATGGCAGCATATACATACTTCATTCAATCTCAGCTGCCACATATATAACAACAAATTAATTGATAGTAACAGGCCAGGCCAGGCCATCAAGGTCACGTTGTTGCCTCTCCCGAATTTCATACATAAAAAATATTAATTCCCTACGTGCATGTGCATGTGCATGTGCATGGTGGACAAATGTACGTATTCTATTCTATGAACAATAGACGTTGCTACTCTTTATTAAACCTGCGCAGGCCTACTATTCAACTTGTGCTTTGCAATGCAATGCAATTTAAGCCTATTCCTCTCTCTCCCCCTTTTCTTCTCTTTATTAATTACCAGAATCAATACCCACCACAGGAAGTTTCCAACTAATTTCATTCCACTGATGCTTCACGCTAGAGTCAACCAAAATGGATTTTCTACCATATATATTTTTACTATCATTTTCTTTTTGGTGAATTGAGTTTAAGGATAGTTTAGTTCACAAGATTTTTTTATATCGTAAAGTATAGAAAACTTAGATGTAAGATATCCTATTTTTTTATTTTTATTTTTATTGTGAATGTATTTTTGCCCAAATCAACCCATTAATTATCTCTGAATGATGGAAGGACGGACGAAGAGGAGTGCATACATAGGTGGTTCAAGAAAATTAGAGATGTGGGTGGGTGTAAGAAGAGACTGAATATATCTTATCTTTCCAATAAAATTTGGTTGGTTTGTTGGGCTTAATTGCTTGAGTGGAAGTGGAAGCCAAATAGGATTCACTCATATTTTCTATATTGTGATGTCTAAAGTACGCTTTTTCCAAGTATGATCGATGACTGACGAGCCATGTAACTCCCCTGCTGGCCACAAACTTTTGTTCCTCTCTTTCTTTTTTCACCCAAAATTGCTAAATGCACCACTGCGGGTTTAGTACCTCTAATTTTTATTTTTTATTTTTATGTTTTTTTGGTAGTCTTGGAGGATTTGATCCCTCGAGAGAGCGAACCTTTTTGAGATCACCCAAAACCATTTGAATGTTTGAATCTAATAGTGATTTAATTTTTGAGTTATGGAAAAAAAAATAGACTCTTTAATGCATATTGTAACTGATATGGACAATTCGATAATCATCCATCTTGTGTGTACCGATGGAAGGACAAGTTGTTGGGGGGGGGGATAACAGGAGACGAGAAAAAATAAAATGCATGAATTGGCAATAAGTGTAGTTCAATTTTGTTTTGCCATTGAAGAGATTTGGGTGTAATAAGAGGGGGAGGAAGTTGTAGTTGTAGTTGTAGTGTTATTTTTCTTACTTAAGGGCATTGGTGTGATTTATGAAAGTTTTCGGTGGCTTGTCGGAGGAGAGGGCACTTTCGGAAAATCAGCCAACCAATAAAATTAAACAAAAAAATGGCCCGAAAGGCTTCCTGTAGTGCCAGCGAATCTCTCTGTCTCTCTCTCTCTGCTGATTTGGTTTTTATTTTCGTTTCTCCAACCAGAAGGCCGCTCTTTTCCTTTCCCCACAGCCACTCTATTTGGGTTTCTCTTTCTCTTCCTTCCCTCCTAGGGCTAGGGTTTTTATTTCGTAGGCGCGTCTGTTTTGACGAAATCACAAGCATGTTGCTTAAAATCGCCACTTCTCTCTATAACTTGGCCAGTTTTGCTCTCCAACAACTTTATTGGTCAACCATGGCTTGAATAATCGGTTCTTGTTGGTAACTCTCTTTCTCTCTCTCCATTCCTTATCTTTGTATATGCATATACGCATAAGTATTTGCTTGCCCCTCATATTTTTTCAGTGTTGTTATATTTGAACCTTTCATCCTTTTATTAGACTTTTAATATTTTGCAACTTTGTGTTCGTTGTTCTGATACAAAGGTCTTTGGAGTATTCGATGGTAACTTTTTGGGGATTCGAACTGGTAATCATAGAGATTGATTGAGGACTTATTGCTTGCACAACTCGTTTTGAGTTATTTGAGGGATTTCGTGCTGTTTGGATATGGGAAGTCGGAATTTTGGGATTTTTTTGGGGTGTTGGGGGTGGGGTTGTGTTTCATTTGGATAGTTGGTTCCATTAGTGAGTATTTATTCATTATATTTCTGTAAAGATAAAACATTTTTGAGGGGTTTATGCTAATTTGGAGTGCTGCTAATTTTGTGGCTTGGGTGTATTTTGAAGTCCTGAGCTTGTGTTTGTGACTTGCCACAAAAAGCTTGAAGTGCTGAATAGGTTTATATATATATATATGTTCATGATATTTTCTTTATTTCGGATGGTGATTTCTCTAATATCTCATCCAGGAGGATACATGAGTTTTTTTTGAATTTTTTGGAAGGCCGATTTTCAAATTTCAGTCCTATTTTAATTGATTTTTTTTTTTGGGGGTTTGAGTTGTTGGAAGCAATTGAGGTTTGGAGAAATACATCATGTGCGCGTGTATGGATATTTGGTCTGGTTGGTATTTTTCAGTTTTGACTAGAATGATTCTAGCCTGATGTGTTTGTTTTCTGGACTAGCCTTTGTCAAGTAGGGAAGTGTGATCAAATTTTTTTATTATGTATTACGGAGTCCGTTAGTTTTTTTATGTTTGTCTTATGTGTATAATCATTTGTTTGATATGCCTATCTAATGATGTTGGTAGTTGCTTTTGGGGGTCTTTTTTTTTTTTGGATTGATAGCATATACAGGCTTTATTTAGGTTCTCAAGAAGTAGTAGGTAAAGGTATATGCTTGAAAGTTGCTTCTATTCTTTAGCAATTGAAAGTGTTTTCTGTTCCTTTTTTCCTAGTGCAAACATGCAAACATAAACTCCAGGATTTCTTTAGGGTAATCTAACTGACATCCCTATGGATTTTAACAATTGCAAGGCCACCCTCATGGCTTAGGTTTGATTTCGAAGGTTATTTCTTTTGCTACTGATAGTTAAACCTCATAGTCATCCTATAAAACAAGACAAATTACTTAATAAATGGAATAATTAATAAATAGGATGATTTTTTTTCTTTTATTAACTTTGACCAAGAAAACAAAAGCACCCTCTTGATTGTTCAGCATTTCCTCTTCTCATCCACTAATATCATGATCATCAATGGTCGTGACTCGTGATATTTTTTATTCCCTAAACCCCACGACCAAACCCTCCCTAAACCCCTATTTGTCAAATTTCTCCCCCCTCTTTGAAAATCTCTTTAGAAACAATAGAGTCGAAATCGATAGCAAAGCGAAAAACACTTTTTCTTCTCTATGAACCCCTTTCAAAACCCAACTTCACGTATCTCCTATTTCCAAAGCTAAAGCTTTTAAAACTTACTGGCTCGAACTCAGAAGGTTTGGACGGTGATTGGATTTGGAATCGTCAATGATTGTCGTTGAGAATCAGATGCTTGGGCATAGGATGGGTGATTGGAAGTGGGAATGATGTGGTGATGAGTGTAGGGGGCGAGATGGTTAATGGTTGAGGTGTGGCTTATTGGTAGATTATAATTGGATGTTTGTGAAGATGGGTGGTGGCGGCGGATGGAGGTTTTTTGGTCATGGTAGTTTTGGTGGTGTTGGTTTTGGTATACGGTGGTGATGATTGGTGTTCATTAACAGAGAAAAGGGAAGGAGGAGGGGAGAGTGATATTGGGTTTGGATCTGTTAAGCGATAGGTTCTAGTGTGTTCCAAAGGGGAGTGTGGGGTGTTTGCATGCAAGGTTGTCTTTGTAGCTAAGAACTTTTTTTGTTACAGTGCATGGGTGCAAAGGGCACAACGTGTCGCTCATTAACTGTATTCCTGACATTATGTGATGGGTACAGTAATCTCATTTCAAAACCTTGTAATTGTTAAAAACAAGTGGATCAGTTGCAATTGTGTGAAATCAGGTTTCTCACAATTAGGGATGTCAGTGTAATTATCCATTTCTCTTATGTTTTCATTGGTCTTTTCTTTCAGTCCTAATTGTATGTAACACCATTCTGTTTAAATTGTTATGGTTGTTGTCAACATTCATTTTGGAAGCTCTAGTGATCTCATTGT